ATTTCTTTCTTGGTTTCAAAATCTCTATCGGATTTTCGACTATTTTGACTAATTTTCGGTTATTTTAATTTTCGACCAACCTGTTTTATTCAATTTCAGTTTCTAAAAATATCCAGAATAAAAATTTGGCGTCAAATTAAAGCACGTGTTAAAAAAATTCCTCTATTTTTCGTAAGAAAAACTTAGCTCATGTTTCATATGTTTGAGAGAATAAAGTAGGAGAAGAAATTAAATTGATAACTGGAATTGAATTTCTTTGGAACGTAATGACCCAGTTATCTGGGGGTGTTTCATTGTATTAAATAAATAAATAATAAAAAAATTGAGTTTAAAAACAATGTCTAACAAAACTGATATCAATGTGGATTTGGTGCTAATCTGTCATTAGTTTAATACTAGAATTTTACAACTGTTAGAGGGTGAGCCAACATATCGATTAAAAATTAAATTTTATTTGTTGGAAGAATATAAATTCCAACCAGCAACCAAAATCAAAACGTTTTTCTTGAAATTTGAGTTACGATTTATGTAGTTTTCAACAACAAAGTAATTTACTTCTATAGCCCAGGAAGATATAAGAAATTATTCGGAGAATTTTGTAATACAAAGTTTGCATATCAAGTTTCCAGTTAGGACTCCAAATTGATACCGGCACGGATTAGAAGTATATAAATACCAATATAAATATTTTTACCAATATGTATGCTACTAGATTTTTGCCAGTGAAGAATTATTCACGCAGTTTGGTTAGAGTCAACTGAAAAAAAATCTACTTAACGTGTCTGTTCTGTTTTAGTAATTTTGGTCCAAAAACTAAAAGCCTTGCAACAAACAAAACTATTTATTATCAAAATTTCCCATATTTTTAACAAAGAGTTGAAATTTGCTGTTTCTTATTTCACAATTACGTTGCGTGTTTTTTCCACAGTTTACAACTTATATGTGTCCATACAAAAAATCTATTCAATTTTATTATCCAGTGAATTTAAGAAACTAAAATTTTGCGTGAAACTGTAACATTTTAAAACAATTACCTTCCTATCTTTACACCAGAAATCAATTAAGCCATAACCACACTCAAATTCAATTAAATTCAATTCAATTCAATAGTTTATTCAAGTGACAGTTAGGCATAACGTGTAAATACATGTTGATTCCAGCAAAATGTCACAGTTACATAAATAAGGTCAAAAATAAAATTTAAAATAAATAATATATTTTTTGGGAATTTCTAACATCTATTATTATACTTTATGAAACTAGTTAATAATTCTTGTGTCCGAGTACATAAATTGGTCAGATCGTTTGGAGATAAGTAATTTTCTGATTGATACGTCGAAATCTGCATATGATTTGGAGCTTTTAATAGAAAGTGGCAGATTGTTCCAACATTTTACAAACTGATAAGCAAAAGATTTTTTGGCAAATTCTGTTTTCAGTCGTGGTTGTATAAAGTCCTGGTCTCGTTTGGTTTGTCGCATACTATTATCATTTTTCTTAAATCTTGTAAAACATCTAGTTAAATTTGTCTGGTTAACTAAAGTGTGTAAACTTAATTGCGCCCCATCGTTTTTCGCATGCGAACCCAACACAAATCTTGCTGTAACTTTTGAACAAGTGAATATTTTTCGAGGCAATTTTTACCATAACTTGACTAACAACAAGGTTTAATAATAAGCATCATACAATTAAAATATATGTCTTGGATAACTCGAAATTCAAAGTGGAAAAAATTACCATAAATTTTAGATGTGCAACAAAAATTGCGTGAGAACGCATGAAAACAAATTTTTTCCAGCAAAAAAAATGACTTACATATCCCAAATTGGTATCAACCGTCATAATAATAATAAATAAGCTTCAACTTCATGAGAAAAGTTAACATTCAGTGCTACATTTAGAAACAAGTCGCACAGCTCAAAACGCTTTAACACAATATTTAGTATAAACATCCAACTTCAGTGCAAAGTTTCATCAAAACTGAAGTATTGGCTAGCCAAACTTAGAAACTAATTAAATAATACGTCCATTGAAGGAAAATATTGACAACTGGATTATATTGGGAGATATTCTTCGAAAAAATGCATATTTTGTAAGGTACAAAATTCAATCGCCACATCCTTATCACTATTCAGTATTAATAGGACTTTCACACAGATTTATTCCGACTAACTGGTGCGTTCAGAACAGCAAAAGGAATTGGACCTATCAACAATGAATGTCCCGAAATATGCATTGGAAGTTATGGTATGCCGAGGTTTTGGTTTGTGGCCTGATATCTCTTCCTATTAGAGGGAAATAACTACATTTGAGCACAACATGCAAAATGGATAAATTGGTAGCTATATATTGCGATAACCTAAGGAACAAGGAATTAATGACGAAGGACAGAAAAATTATTCTCACAGCAGTTGATGCCACAGTTCACATAGAAGAATTCCCTATAAAGGTAATAGGGGACGTTTCCACGATGTGGAACTCGAGCCAATGACCTCACTAAAATCCACGCTGTTGTTGTGTGGATAATTTGTGACCTATACTTATAGAAAAAACGTATTAAGAACAAAGCTGAATGATACGAACGGGTTTCTCACAAGTATTCCAGAAAACTGGAATTTAATGCAAATTTTTAGACTGAAAAAATTAGAACAAATTTTAAGTAAAGTAGTGGAGGTCATGATTGAAGTAATTTTTTGAAAGGCCACATAGTGGGTTATGACTGGTAAAAAATTAGGTTCGCAGCTATTACTGTTTTCTAGTTCAACACTTCGAAACATTTACATGAAAAATGGGGCGCAATTAAGTTTACACCCTTTATATACTTATATACAAATTTTAATGAGTATAATTCATATCTTTCAGCGATTGTCAGCCAGTTTAATTTTTCTAGTACATTATAAAAATGGCGTGTTTTGCTGTGCTTTTGTAAGATAACCAAGTCACTCAATCTCAGCATAATTTTGTCAACTCTTTCATATTTAGATTTACATAGATTTCCCCACACAGGAAGACAGTATTCTAGTTTTGATAAAATGAGAGAAGTACAAAAAATCTTGATCCATTTTTGGCTAAAATATCGTTTGTATCTATTAATCATATACATCCTACAAGTCATTTGCTTACATACATTGTTGAAATGTGTGGTAAAAGTTAGCTTTTTATCAATAACAACACCAAGGTATTTGAATTCATCTACTTGTTCTACTAAATTATTATCTAAAGATATTTGTAATTTATCGGTTGTATTACATCTTAGTGGGATAAAAATGATACTTTTGGTCTTAGTAGTGCTTATCTTCATTCCTACCTGTGACGCCCATGAATTGACAAGATTCAGGTTTTCTTGTAGGATTGCTTGAATTTCCTGTGTTGTCTTTCCATGTGCGTACAGGCAGGCGTCATCTGCATAGCAAATCAGGTGGCACTTAATAATCTTTTTAAGGTCATTGATATATATTGAAAAAATTAGCCCTGATATTGCACTTCCTTGGGGTGTCCCTGCTCTTACACACTGAAAATCCGTAGCTGTATCTCCGTTCCTCACAAGTGCTACTCGGTTTTTGAAATAGCTTCGGAACCAGTCAAGCAGCTTTCCATCTACTCCAAGTTCCCGAATTTTGTCCACTACAAGCGGATGTGAGAGTCGGTCAAAGGCTGCCTCAAAATCTATCATCACGGCCCCGGTCATCTCACGGTCATCAGCTCGAAAACGGATGTCGTCAGTAAGCGCTAACGTTGCACTCAGGGTAGAGCGTCCAAGCCGGAAACCGTGTTGGGCATCATCGAGTTTGTGGCCATCATCAAGAAATTGGTTAAGTTTTATGTAGATACCTTTCTCAAGGATTTTTGTTGTTGCTGGTAAAATAGATATAGGGCGATAACTTTTTGGGTGGGACTTTTCACCTTTGCCTTTGTAAAGGCACCAATTATTGTTTGCTTCATCGCATCAGGTACGATTCCTTCCCTCATCATTTCATTGAACAAAGGAACAAGAATTGGAACAATTTCATCTTTGCAAGTTTTGTAGAATTTCGGTGGAATTGTGTCATGTCCAGCAGGTTTGTTTATTTCAATTCTGACAATGATATCAATTATTTGTTTTTCAGTGAAAGCGATTTTTGACAGCCTATCACTTTTATCAGCGAGTGATGGAAGATTTGCATTTTTTTGAAGAGGAAAAGGATCGTCATGAAGAAAGTAAGATTGCAGAAGTTGTAGTTTTTTCAGTTTATTGGTGATGAGTACGCCGTTTTCTTTAAGATGGGGAATTTTGCATCCTTTTTTCTTCCTCCCCGTTTCTTTATTGAAGTGATCCCATGCAAATTTGGAATCATGGGTGGGATCAGAGGAAATTGAATTTTTAATGCATTCTGCCTTTAGTTTAGTTTTAAGGTGGTTGGTTGCGTTTCGAGATTTGGTAAACTGTTGCCAATCCTCGAGTGAATTTGATTTAATGTGTGCTTTTTTTAATTTTTTTGTGTGGTTGTTGCTTTCTTCAAATTCTGGTGTCATCCATTTTGGTTTGCTGGATTTCACATGAATTTTCTTAATTGGCGCATGACTATCGAGGATGTGCTTGCAAATCCCGAGGTAAGTACACTAAGAAAAATCGAGCAAAGTTTGCACGGATGCGTGTTAGTTTAACACAACTTCCGAGTAAAAAAGAGGATCACACGACTCTCGGTGAAATTTTACTCCCTTCGGTTGACTAATCTTTTTGCTCAACTTTTAGGCAATATCTGCTGAATAAGTTGATTAATTTTTACTCGGCTAAAAACTAAAAATTGAACGACATGCAATTAAAAAATGGTGACTTAATTGGTTAAAATTTACTCTCATTTTGATTGAAATTTGTTCATATTAATATTAATATTCATTATGTACTTTGACTAAAGTATACTCTTCAATTTATGAAAAATTGCACATAAATTGATTACTATACATTCTTTTGTTTATTAAACTTTGATTTATAAATACATTTCTTTAATTACAAATGGCATTCAAATTATAATTACTATATTAATTAAGCGCTTCATAAATGCTGACAAGTAATATTGATACAGATACTATCCCCATAACTACATAAATTCATAAACGTAGCAAGTTCAAATTTCATTAGTTAATCTTTCCTAATTGATTTGTGATGAGAGTGACAGAACGGATGAAGATGGGGATTTAATTTCGTTAATTTGAAAAACAGAGTGATCAAAAAACGCCCAAACACTTGAACATTCATTTGGAAATTTAAGTTGAAGGACGTAGAAAATTTTGAAGCAGATATCAACTGCTTTCACAAGGGATTCTGCTGGAATAAGACGCCTTTCAACCATAACGTAGGACTGCTGGATGTCAATATTCTTCAAAGTTCCTACGCAAACAACAAATGGCTGCTTCCTCGCGGATTCTGACAAGCGAAATTCTTCAAGGTCCTCGTTAGACTACAAATTTTATTAAAAAATTAAGGATAAAATACGCAATTTTTATTAAATCTCAATAAATTCTTTGCTTACATTAACAAATTGAAGAAAAAAATCAGAAGATTGGCCTCCAGTGATTTTTCGTCTCTTTTTGTTAGTTTTAGAATATGCAGATCTTGACAATAAATAGGGGAGCAGGATTAAAGATCCGGACTTAATTTGATCTGAAAAAATAAATAATTAAAATAATAAATGGAAATATGCTCGAGTTTATTATATACAATATTTTTTTACCATTTGACCATTCCACTAAGTTTATGGAAATTCCAATTTCGCCAGCGCTATTAATGTTTATTGTACTTGCGTATTTCCATATTTGATTTGAAATTAAACCCCACTTGTGAAGCATGATTTCACTTTTGCCCGGATGTCGAATATAAAAATCCTGGTCAATCTGAAAAGCAATAAATAATGAAACGCATTATTTAATCAATTAAAGTGTAATAAAAAATTTACAAGTCACCATTCCTGGTGTATCCAATAATCGTGGCCACTCAGAAAGCGTTACAGACAAGTTAGTCGATATGGATAACTCTTTTGACCTTAAGCGATAAGTCTGCGACATGTAATCTGCCACTTGATCCAAAGGAGTTGAACTGTAGCTGAGCCAAGATTTTTTTTCGTACTCATCCTCCGATGCACCTTAAATAATATTTTCCTTAGTAAAATAATACAAAATTTAAACTATTTTTAAACTATTACCCTCCGCCTCTGAACAATCTTCGATTTTGGATTTTCCAGATTTGCTAATCCCATGTTTTCTCCGCAAATGTTTCAACCTATCCTCAATTAATCCTGCCGCTGTAATTTTTTCCGTAGTATTTTTTGCGACAATGACCCTTGACTCTCTGTAAAACAGGTTCTATAAACAAATTATTATTAGATTATTTAGGGAGTATTACATAAATACATAAATGAATAATATCTAATTACGGCAATATCTCTCAGTTGTAAATTTAGGAAAAGTTGAGCTGCTACGCACTGAGCCAAATTTTTCTTGATGTCTTGGTGTGGGCTGAAAATATAAATATTAAACTACTATTGTTAACAGTAAAAAATCAGTACATAGAAATTGCTTACTAGTATGTATAATGCTTCACAAGATAGCTAACAATACGATGCTTGACTAAAGTTTTTATGTCGTAAGTGATGCTGTTTGACTCGGAAATTTTTGCCAGGGTTCGTCTTCCTTTCACGGTTCCTTTTTCTTCATCTGAATTTAATATAATTTGCTTTACGTCCTGAAATATGTACAGTTAAAATCGTTGTTTAATACCAAATTAATTGATAAATATACATTTAATGTAAAATTTAATTTGCTTACAAATAGTGGATTAAACTCTAGAAAGGAAATTTCGACAAGCGCCACATCGCCAGCTTGCACATGTTCCTTGCTTTCATCCTCAGAAATATTTTCTTTCTAAATTTAAAAATATTTTCAATATTTTGTATAAAATAATTAAGAATGGAACTTTACCAAAATATCATTCATCTTTCCTCCAAGTGCACACTGATCAGCCTCAGAAGTCTGTTTGCCTAACTAAATATTTACAACAAAATCTATAATGTAATAAAAATAAATATATCTAAATTCAAACTAATTCTATAGGACAACAAATAAGACCATGACCTTGAGGATCTTCTATGCTGTTAACAACGACTAATGGATACTCCAAATTTATTATTTCAATCCCAATTAATAACGGATCTTCAAACGATAAAATTTTAAACAAATGAGAAAAACTAAATTGCTCTTGACACTTTACCGGTCTCACAACTAAATAAACTTTCTCGTTATGAACTATACACATGCAAATTTGGCAAAACTGTAAAAATTTTGTGGTGTATTTCATAATGAAATACGTTTTAGGTTTTACTTTGGTGCCACAAGTGGTCACGGAGTCCGCACAAAGTACTTCGTCTGCCGCATTCAATGAAAGTTTAGAAAAATCAAACGATATTGTCAAATCCTTGAGTGCAATTCGGGTGGCATTTTCATAAGTTACACCTCCTACTAAATCACATCCCAATGAAAATGCCAGATTAAGTGCTATTCGGTCTGATACTGTTTTTGCTATATTTCTAAAATTGTAACAATTTTTCCCAATCGTTTTTGCTAGCAGGTGTTTTGCTTCAAAACGCATGCACCAATATTGTTTAAGAGGCCCTAGTTGCTCTATAGCATGAGCATAGTGCAACAAATGATGAAACTTTGGCGTTAAATTTTTTTGCGTTAAGTTTATGAATGCTTTGTGATGTTCTGAAATCAAATTATTTAGCAAATTGATTCCAGATCTGCTGATGTAAGGGGACATCAAGATACGCAATATTCTTCGAAGCTTAATAACTAAACCCCAATGCTTATCGTTCATGTTCAACTTATCACCGAAAATTGATGGAAAAATGAGGAAGAAATGAAGCATTTCTGATGCAGAGAAACAAGTTTTTTTGTCCCCGTCAACAAAACTGGAATCAATTTCTGGCAATTTTGACAAAGCGTGACAAATTACATTACAAATTACATTACATTACATTACATTACATACATTACATTACATTACATTACAAATTACATTTTTTTACATGATGCCGACAGCCGATGATTAATTTGACCAAGCGATAGAATGTTGTTATAACAAACATATTTTAGAAATAATTTTAACTCAATTATGCAAATCCCTTCTAAAATATCATGCATAATATCCGGTGCAAAATTTACCGGTTTGTTAAAATTTTACTACAGATTTATAAAAATCTAAATTTGAATAGAGAGCTATTGCATTTCTTTTGATAACTTGTGGCTTAAGAGACGATCAACGACGATCTGTTAAATTTACAGTTATTAATTTCACATTCATGTAAATATGTATAAGAGACGCTCTAAAATTATAGCGAGACTCCTCATTTGCATACTTGCATCTTTGAACTCTCCAAAAATATGTACCAAACTTAATTAACAGCCATGTCTTCTGGGGGATATAACTTGATTTTATTAATAATCGCCAGCTTTGGACGAACAACTCTCGTCTTCATCAGAGACATACATACAAAGATTTTGGAAATCACAATCTACGAAACTTAATGATTTTATACATAAATTAATTGTTTATTTAGTATATTACCATTAATAATACAAACTAAAATCTTAAGGTAGCGAATTTATATAAATAATTTGATCTACAGAACTACAGATTTTATGGCATTTTTTATAATGTGCATATATAAAGTTTATATATTATATTAATAATTAGATTATATTAGCACTTAAAATAAAATTATATGTAGTATACTGTTCCTAACAGTTGCCTACTAAATGTTGTCAATCTCTTCTCTAAATAGCTTCAATGCATTTTGTGCTGAAATTCGCTGTATTTTATTAAATTTAAGCATTTTTCGTAAAATGTTGAAATTTTTTCTGTGAATATTTTCAGCCTTGGAAATGTTAGAAAAATCTCCGCGTCTTGTATCGCATAAAATTCTGATTGCTTCATCGGTACATTTCCAGTCAAGAATTAAAATAAGGTATACCAAACCCAACGAATAGACATCTGTAGTTTCATCATAATTGTTTTCACCACGGTACATTTCCGGGCTTTGGAAATTTCTCACCCCAATTTCAATTGTATTATCCTGGTTTCCGTCTTGGATTGGCCTGGCCGTGGAGAAGTCTCCAATTTTTACTTGAAATGAGTCATTCGAGCAATTAACAAATATATTGGGTGGTGTCAAATTCCGATGTATAATTTTATTGGAATGAATGAAAGTTAATCCTTTAACGATTTGTACGATAAGGGTTTCTTCCAGGTTATCAATGTCACGCGTGCGGAACGGGTATTTCTCCATCCAACCGTCCAAGTTCATTTCGCAATATTCCATTTTAAGATACATTATCGTGTTTGAGGTGCTGTTGCCAACATCATTGTTAAACTTATCAGTAAAGTTATCAAAATTTTGACCTTTTTCTATTTCCAGTAAATCTTTAGATAATGGACCTTCAAACCAATACCTATCTAGAGTAACAAGATTATCACATTTGCCCAATTTCTTCATTACGTTCAACTCACGAAACAATTTTGTTATGTCGTCCATTCCGTTGAGGCGAGCAAATTCGTTGATTGAAAAAATTTTTAATGCATAATCCTTAAATTTTCCATCCGTGATTTTATGTACAGAGCTAAACTTGCCAGGAGTTAGTTCTTCAACGAGACATAGATCCATTGCATATAAATACTTTCTTAACCATTCATCCTTGGGGGGATTTTGAACCAGGAGCTGGATTTGATCTACAAAGAACATTAATTATTTGAAATTCATTAGAAAATTGGGTTGCATAACTGTTCACGTGAGCAATTATTTTCTAAAATAAACTCACCAACAATGTTATCAAGGTTGGCACTTCGAAAGATATTTATTAAGTTTTGAAGGGTCGCGTCCTTCCCATTATGTGATACCCATTGATATAGCATAGTGTGGAAGTAATCGTTTGACGTAATGACACCCATCTGGTATTTATTTCTTAGTTGAACTTGAAATGGAAAGTTCAGTCCTAACATATCCATGAAGGAACTGCTGGAGTTAAAAAGTACTGGATCCTGGACTAATATTCTTATTATATTGTTAATCTCTTGAAAATCCATTTTCAAAATTAGTCAATTACTTTGGTAACACACACACTTGTATAATTGCAACTTAAAATTATCCACAACGACAGCAAAATGAGTTTATTATGAGAATATGATAAGTGTTAAAAATGATAACGGTCTCCTGCGTACTAGATGATAAAATCCGGATAATACAACTTGTTTAAACATGATTCAGTTATACAAAGCTGGTACAATGGAAATGATTCTTGATATCCACTCCTACTTTATACTTATCAGAGCATGGCTTTGCAACGTTATGTATGATTTCGCTGTAATGCTATCTTACATGACAAGTCAAATTCCAGAAGGGGATTATGCACTCATCGGATTCTTAAATAAAGTTTAGTAAATTTCTTGTTTTAAACAAGACAAAAGTTTATGAAATTTAATATATGATATTTATTATGTAACAAAAATATGTGTTACCAAAAAGCTTAACGTATGGTATGATTGGTTCATATATATAAATATTACAAATGTTAATAAATTTGCACATGGCGCCAGAATGGTGAAATTCCAGACGGGTGATTAAAACGTATATTCAACAAGGGTATAACACCTGAAGTAATGAAGGCGTGCTAAATGCGTATATGCAACGCTATATGATCCCAGGGGGCTTAACAAGGGGTTGATTCAGCGAGGTGAATATCGTCGTCAATGACTACGACTCTCTTGCGCACTACCCTATCAAATGCTAATTTATATATTGGTAATCAAAGTGAGCAGGAAAAAAAGTTGTATAGAAGATAATTCACATCAACCCGAATAAAAACGATAAAAAACAACTCCATTATTGACAGGTAAGGTATAAAATTGCATAATTCTGGAATTTGTAACTGCGATTTACCAAACTTTGGCTGAACTAACCAAATTGTTCAATAATATTCGAATCCGGCAAAAATTAATACTCACAATCAATGCTTAAATTATTTGAGTCATTTATTTATGTCATTTTAACAGAACAAAAACTTCACAATAAACCTAAACATTGCTGGTTTCATGGCTTCTAATTGGGGGAAGGAGATAGAGACTCTGCCACCAGCCTGGGTAAATTGTATAAGTGGGGGGGAAGTAATTGGAAGCGGAGGATATGGATTCGTCAAGAAATGTAAATTGAATACCGAACATGGAGACAATCAAACAGAATTTGCTATTAAGTTAACCTTTCCACAAACACGGGATAGAACGTCTCCAGAATTCAAGCAATATTTAGATGAACCAGGGATGGCCATGGCGTTAGACCATCCTAACATTATAAAAACTTACGATTACAATGATCAACAGCAACTCAAAAAGGATGATGTTACTCTTATATTAAAAGGAGCAAATTTGGATCGTTTAATTGCTAGATTTAAATCAGACCATGATCAAATTCCTGTTATACTAACAAAAATGGAACTTTGCGGCCCATCTTTACAGGAGTGGTTGGACAAGCAAGATCTTGTGGGCGAGACCCTTAGCACCCACCAAGTTGGAATAGTTGAAGGATTAATATCAGCAGTTGAATACCTTCATAAAGAAAAAATTTGTCATAGAGATATTAATCCGGATAATATTTGTTTCTCTTGGAATGCATTGCCAGATAAATTATGTTGTCTCCCGATAAAACTGATAGATTTCGGAATTTCTTGTAAGGTGAAAGATAGTGAAGTATCGCATACAAATGAAAAGCGTGGCACCCAGTTTTACATAGCACCGGAGGTTTATAACGATGGTAAATACGATTTACGATCTGATATTTACTCACTTGGTTTTGTATTTTGGGAGGTCTTGCAATACTTTAATGAATCAAGTAAAGAAAAAAATTTCGGTAATCTTACAGCTGAAAACCATACTATTTTAATTGAAGATCACAGTGTTTTTATACATGCACAAAAGATAATCTCAAGTATGATACAGACAGAAGTTTCACATCGAATAAGCACAATGGAACAAGTGAGATTTGAGAAAACAGGAAATAAAAAATCATATACTGCCAGTAATAGCGAAGAATTGAAACATTTTTTGGAATTTGGGTGTCAAGATGGTGACGAGATTAAGTTGTGTACAGGTAGCTTCGAGGGGCAGTTCCACGTTAAGATGGCAAATGTTAGTATCATGGGATGCGAGAAAGTATTAGGCAGCTCAAAGTTGGTCGGAATTAATTCATGTATTAAAATTAGTAGTGGATTATGTACATTGTCCAATATTGTGTTTGATGGTGGTGAGAAAACAATGTTAGAAATTGATGGGGACGGGAATAATTTTAATTCACTTGAATTTATTGATGCACAGAATGGGATTCGGTGTAATGGAAACAAAAATGAATTTCACAACGTAACTTTTATCCGAGTACACGATGTAGGAATGACAGTCACTGGAAATTGTAATAAGTGTAATTATTTCAATATAAAGGATGCTAGATGTGGCTTCATAGTGCGTGGCAAAACACACGAATTTAATAACGTGTCATTTAGTAGAGACGAAAATCGAATAGATAATTTAATCGGTTTTGAGTTTAAACGAGGTGAAGAACATTCCGTTCATAGATTAACGGTCACAAATTTATTAAAAGAAAATAAATCGGGCATAGGAATAAAATTGTCACGAGTAACCAAATCAGTTAAAATAAGTCATAGCAATTTCCATGTGGCTGAGGATCACGGTGAAAATAATAATCATGAATACCCTCAATCAGAAGGTTTGCTGGTTTTCCCAAAGAAGGGAATTAGGCAAAAGATAAATTAGTTATAATTTATTAGTTCAATCCACACATGTCAATCCACATAGTTCAATCCACATATGTCTACTTGTGCAAATCACAGCAGCCTTTATTCACGTGTTGATAGATATCAGTTTACAACCTGCTTTCAAATCCATGACATAATAATCTATAAAAATATGAAGCTGTCAACTAACCTAAATCACTATAAATAAACGATACTATAAATTGTAAGGTACTCTCTGTTCATTATAGCCGTAGAGTCCGCAGCTCTTGGAACAGTTGAGTTCTCGGTCGTTCGGGTATTTTCATTCAGAATTAAATAAATATTTTTTACCAAATTAATACGAATTTGGTTTTAAACTTACACAATAATATGCAATTTCTGATCAATTGGAGTAGGAAAAATGCGTAGAATTATGGAATTACTGCGTAAAAATAAATAATTGTGAAATCCGTGTTTAATATTAGTCAGAACATGACATTTGTAGTTATTTTTGAACATTATTAAGTAAAAAATATTGCATGGGTTTGAAGTCAGTAAACACTGTTCAATCAAATATGTATTTAATTCTGAATTAAAATACTCGAACGACCGAGAACTCAACTGTTCCAAGAGCTGAGGACTCTACGGCTATAATGAACAGAGAGTACATAATTTTAATAAAAGGTTTTCAATAAAAGTAGAAAATGTTTGCTCTCTAATCAACAATTTTGCTTCCACACGATTCAATAAAAATGTAAGACATGTTCCAATCTTTCGGGAAACTGTTTCAAAGTTTGATTGCACGATAATTTATACTTTTTGGGGCCTAGGAGTGAGAATTGTGAGTGGCAATGTTTAGGCTTGAATTCTGTCTACTTAATGAACAACCATGTACAGTAGCTACAATAAGTTAGGCTATGGTATGAACGTGGTTTGTTCAGGTCCCTTTATTTTGTTCAAGTTAAGCTACCAAATACATATATTACATGTATTTTGAAGGAAATTTATCAAGGAATCCGAATATGATAACGATTTTCCAAAATCTCAAAAACTGACTGCACAATTTTGGGAGGGAGCGGGAAATCTGTGAATCGGATGCCAAAAAAGTTAGCATATGGTTGTGGTTTTTGATCTGCTATTTTGTAAAATCATAACCTAATAACGTGTTGGTCCTCCCATAGCTTCAATCACTGCTTGTATACGTCGTGGCATGGAGTCCACTAATTTCTTGGTAAAATCTTGGTCAAGATATTCCCATGCTTCTGCCAGGATCCGTTTTAAGTGTTACTTGTTGCTAGGATTCCGATTAGCAATTTTTCTCTATAATTCTGCCCACAAATGTTGTGTGTGATTAAGACCTGATGACTGGGCAGCCCATGGAAGAACTTTTATTTCATTTTTGGCGAACCATTCCTTGGTGGTTTTGGCGGTACGTTTGGGATCGTTGTCCTATTGAAAGAAACAGTCCCTCTAATTCTTAATTTCCGGACTGATGGAAGTAAATTCTTCTGTAGGATGGATTGGTAGACATCCTTGTTCATAATGCCGTCAATGAAATGCAATTTTCCTACACCATTTGTACTCATTGACCCCCATGCCATAATAGAACCACCTCCGTGTTTGATGGTTTTTCTTAGGCAGTTGGGCTTAAGACTTTCGCCGACCTTACATGAGACTGTGGTCACACCGTCGGTCACGAACATGTTGAACTTGCTTTCATCAGTCCATAGAACAGTTTTCAATCATCAGTGGTACACGCTGGGTGATCTTTGGCCCACTGAAGCCGCTTAAGTTATTGCGCTTGGAGATGAAAGGTTTCTTCCGCGCGACTGCACCCTTATAACCTTTTTCTTTGATGAGATTTCGGACTGTTTGGTTAGAAATGGAGACCCCGTGTTGGCTTTGAATTTCTGCAATTTGTCGATCAATCCGCGGAGTCGTCTTCCTCTTACGTCCGGTTCGCCGTTTATTTGCCACAGATCCTGTTGATATCCATTTGTGGATTATTCTTTGAGTAGCTGGCACCATGAATTTTGAATTCTGAAAGATTTTTATGTATCCGAGACCCTTCTGATGCAAGGAAATAATTTTCCCCCGTTGCTCCAGCGATAACTCGTTTCCTCGCATTTTCACCTTGATTTTAGTTTCACAAAATGAATTATTCGTTTAGCTGGTAGTTGTATTACAGCATATATAGTTGGAAATTAACTTACCAAGAAAATATAATGGAGGAAAATCTAAGAATTCAACTCCACATTCAAAAATCCTTAACCATATGCTAACTTTTTTTGCCTCGGATTCACAGATTTCCCGCTCCCTCCGAAAATTGTGCAGCCAGTTTTAGAGATTTTGGAAAATGGCCAACATATTTCGATTCCTTGATAAATTTCCTTCAAAATACATGTAACATATGTATTTGGTAGCTTAACTTGAACAAAATAAAGGGACCTGAACAAACCACGTTCATACCATAGCCTAACTTATTGTAGCTACTGTACGTGAGAGTTCACGAAAAGCGTATTTGTATAGGAAAAAATCACAAATATTCCGTAGTAAGAATGATGAAGTTTTGTTAACAGGTCATTATATTTTCTGTGTTTTTTGTGTATTTAAGATTAGTTGTTTAATAATATGTAATATGTATGAACTTATGTAGAAAATAAATCCTTTCGACAAGATTCAAATGGTAAATTAAAAATTGTATACATATTAAGTGTCCGTCATTAAATTACTGTAAAATATTTACACAAAAACCTACAGTGCAGACTCCATATAGCCCGAGTCAGGGCTAGGACAGGAATTTCTCAATCCGACTATTTTATAGTCTCCCAACAACATTTTACACAACATTATGCTTCAATTAGAAGTCATTACTAACCTTCATGCCAAATTTGGAAATTTTTTAAAAAAATTACTCGACTATAAATTGTTTATTAATTAGCAAAAGTTTTTTGTACCTGGTGGTCCCCAATTTTTTATTTTTTCTTATCAAGGTGTTTGCATATAGGTGTCCTGTTGAATTTGAACGATAGTGTATGTATGTACATGCCAAATTTCACCTAAATTAGATTATTTAAAAAATCCGTATGTCTCACCCACTAGGGTCCCTCCAAATAAAAATTTTCGCAATTTTACTTCATATTTTCTCATTGCAAGCTATTACCAACCTATATACTTAATTTCAGCTTAATTGGACGATTTTAAAAATCGGTGTGGGTCACACAATAAGGGCCAACCAAATAAAAATTTTCAATTTTACTTCATATTCTTGCATTAGAAGCCATTAGTTACCTACAGTCAGCAAAAATCTAGATCGTACCTTTACGTTTTTTAAAATTCGATATGATGTCGTACACGTAGACCTTTGAAACTCTGCAGGCATTTGAAATAACTAACTGGGACCTAATTCCGCGTCGCAGATTTTTAAGGTCACCGACAGGTCACAGGTCAGAATTTTTTGAAAAATAAAAAAAACGTGCAAAAAATAAAACTCTCCGGATAATTTTTTTTCGACTTCCTAATATTTTTTATGGAATGCGGCAAGGCCTCCGAAGAAAAACAAGCTATTGTATGACCGTGTACGATTTTTTTGACGCCCACAGGAATTTTTCGCCCAGGACAGGTTGAAGGGCCAAAAATCGCGACCTTGGCGAAATTTGAAAAATTGATATACACAAAATCATACCTACGCCAAATATATGCTTTTGTAAAAAATTCTGACCTGTGACCTGTCGGTGACCTTAAAAATCTGCGACGCGGAATTAGGTCCCAGTTAGTTATTTCAAATGCCTGCAGAGTTTCAAAGGTCTACGTGTACGACATCATATCGAATTTTAAAAAAACGTAAAGGTACGATCTAGATTTTTGCTGACTGTATGTACCAAATTTAAGCTTTCTACGACAATTTCGAAATCTCTGTGTGTAAGACCCCCACCACCTACATGACCCCCACCGGTCAACCAGTGGACCGATTTGGCTCATCTTCGAACTCGAGTCCCAACTTTGTCCATACAACATGTGTGCCAAATTTCAAGTCGATCCGCTAAGTTTGAAGAGAGTTATCGTGCGGACGGACGGACGGACGGACGGACATGACGTTTCCACAAGCCCTAACTCGGGCTAAAAACCGTGTCTTATAATATTACTAACCTAACCTAACCCAACGGAGTAGGAAGTCCGAGGTTGTCAGTGGCCGATTTTGATGCCCTTTGGATATAGTACTCTACGAGATAAGAAAAAGTGAAGGAGGGCTAAGTTCCATGGACACCCCCACCGGAGATATTTAACCTCAAAGTTTCTAAATTTCCCCATTGCACAATGGGCCCGGGGATTTAAATTATAGCCATAAATGACATTCAATTTAAGGATGGGTACGACTGGGCCTAAAATAGCTATAGTGACCTCGGATTGCACAAGATCGGAATTCGCCTCATACTTCAATCAGGGGAGCGCGCGGGAAATATTTATTAGGTTGTTAAACCTGTCGCCGATTTCAAAATCGGTGACTCCGAATTATTACTAATTACTAATGATTTAATGGATTTTAAGGTTTCAAAGTCTTCGGGGCATATCCAGGGTATTCCGACCCCGGGTTTTACTGGGTTGGGGTTTTACTGGGTTTTACTAGGTCGTAAATGAGTAAAACCCAGCGGGTTTTACTATGTTATAGGGGTTTTACTTGGGTTTTAACGGGTTTTACTCGGGTTTTATTGGGTTTTACCTCGAATTTGCAAAGATAAATCAAGAGATTCAATTTCCAAGTCTTGAATTTAGTCCTATGACCTGATTTCTATATTTACTTTCGACTTTTTGTTACGATCGAAAATTCTCAATCTTCAACGTAACCTCCAGTTTAATCATGTTAGTGTTGTTCGGGTGTTACAGACGGTTTGGATCGAAGTTTCAGAGTAAATCTTGCTAGAATAAATAAATTAGTTAAATTAATGTATTCTATTCATTAATTTTACAAATTAATGTAACATTGTTAATTTTACTAGTTTACCCCAAACATTGAGTAAAACCCAGTAAAACCCAGTAAAACCCGTAAAACCCCAAAAACCCAGTAAAACCCAGTAAAACCCCTGGTTAGTGGTATTGAAGGTAAAACCCCGGGTTTTTCCAAACCCTGGGCATATCGAAATTAATAAATTAATGTGTGACAACAATTATCTTACACACTGTATATTGTGTTGGTTTGGAATGAAGTGAGCATAACCCAATTAATTAATTTAAGCCAATAATACAGTGAAATGTGAATGAATACGTATGTATTTGTCCTCACAGTGGATTTATAATACACTAGCACTAGCGAATACCCCCGTCTTGTACCAGTCAAATGTGCAATACACATTACATATGTCTACCTAGTTATTTCATAATGGGTGTGAGTAGCGCGTAGTTCAAAAACCTGATAAGCAATAATTAAACGATAAGTTGTAAACAATTCCATAACTCAATACCTTGAAAACGTATATCTTCATTTTTATCAATTCGGTCAACTTTAGGAGATATAGGACTTGGAAAGGGAGCGGGCAGCAATAATTTTTCACTTTCACCAAAGCAAAAAAAATTCCGAAATTGTAAAGGCTATGAAAACCTCAAAAGTCAATTTTATATTGGTTGCTCGAAAAATTACAAGATTCCTATAGACAGGGTCTACCAAAGTACGTCCAAGTTCCCGTCGTCCGAGGTCAAAGAGGACACCGAGCATGTTGAAAGCGCGGAAGGCGAGAATAAGAAGAAATCCACGCCGCCGCCAAGGAAAGTTGGCTCTACAAATGAAGGTTTCGAAATCGACGATGACCAGACCCCTAAAGTTGGACCTTGGTATGAAGGCTCTAAAACGTGGCAAATGCCACATGTTAACAATTCCCCAAAAGGAAGCTAGGGTCAAAAAATGCAAAGCGCTCCTCTAGCGGTACGGAGAAAAAAAAGACGTCTTCCATCCTCTTTACGGATGAGGATACCTTCTACACGGATGAGTATTTTAATAAACAAAATGGCCCAATCTATGCCAGATGAAAAGGTCACAAGATGAAAAGGTCACAACGTGAAAAGGTCACACCATCCTGGCTCAGTGATGGTTTGGGAGGGAGTGAGCGAAAAAGGGAAAACGCCGTTGCATTTCGTCGAGAAAAAGGTCAAGGTCGCCGAAAAAAATTCAAAAAATTCGTCCTGGAACCCGTGGTGAAGCCCCTCAACGAAACCATGTTCAACGGAAAGCCTTGGACCTTCATACAAGACTCAGCACCAGCGCATAAGGCAAAAATCGTGAAATCCTGGCTCAAAAACAATAATCCAGACTTCATTTCTACTGCGGATTAGCCCTCAGCATCGCCGGATCTTAACCCACCGGACTATGCCCTGTGGACTAAACTTGAGGCATAGGTGTGTAGTAAGCCTCACAAAAGTGTGGAGGGGCTGAAAAAATCCCTACTCGTGGAGTGGGACCTTTTGCCCATGGAAGAGGTGCGTAATTTGGTGGGCGCTTGGCGTTCGTGTTTACAGCAGTGCATCGATGCTGGAGGAGGAAGTTTTGAAGTTTAAGATATGTATCCTCATTGAAATTTAACTGGCTTTTCAAAGTAATATAAATTGAAAATTGATTTTTAAAATCCTGTGAGATATAGCTGCTTTCCTAACTCACACCCATTATGAAATAACTAGGTAGTACCAAACCAGCCTGATATCTCAAAGTCTCGACCAACTGAGTGTGTTCGGATGTCCATGTGTTGCGGGGTCGAGGTGTTGAAATATTGATACGGTTAAAATATTGAATCCTCTAGAATCATCTAAAATCCTGTAATACTCTAATACTTACATACCGGGATACTGAGTCCCGAAATGTTATAATGTCGAACTTACCAGTCTACCTCGTCCCATCGCTTTACCCCCTAAACCTGATATTAAGGTTCCTAACCACTTAATTACCTTATAGTTACCGTCTTGGTAATGGAAACAATGTGATGTACAATATTTTTATCGCAGTCACTTGAATAAAGATTGCATTGAATTGTCCAGAGTTGTCAAGTTTACCCATGAAAAACAACCGTCTTATCGTCATCTTATCTCTTTCTCTTATATTTGCACTTATTTGCGTCTTAAATACAAACCACTTTCAGTTCTTTGATTTCCGTCACGAACAAACTCCTTTCACGCCGTAACAGATGGACATTCTGAATTATAATATAGATACGCATTCCGATTTTCCAACAAGTATACATACATATGTACGCGTACTTTTGCAAACTACCGAGTTTAGTAAATAAATGAACTGTAATGCTGCCATTACGTATTTATCACCAACTGTATATGTATAAACTCATCACTTCAGTTTTTATCGCAGTTAACCAAAGATAAGATAAGGTGAATGGAATTGGCTGGAATTGACTACTAAAACTTTATACTGTTCAAAATTTGATTTACTAAAACTTTATACTGTTCAAAATTACCATACCATACCATACAAAATTACCAAAAGGTAATTTTCGATACATTTGTATTATTCAAACGTATCCTAAAGAAATTTATAACCTTGTGCAGTGTCTTTGTCAATAATGGAAGCAGCGAAACCACATCAGAGTGAGATTTCCTTGGACACAGTGAAAATAAATGAATCAGGAATATTTAAATTTAATAAATTTATATATGGTTCATCTCTCACTAAATTTGATTCTACGGGGGGTGGCAAATCGGACGAATTTCAGCCACACATAATTGGGAGTATTGGGAGTATGGCTGCCTCCCACAGGATGACTGTCTTGAATAAGTACGTTGATTACGTTCCTGAATTTAATATCTATCCAAAATTAATGGGCCTGAAAATTGACAAAGTTATTGGTCAAGGTTGTTTTGGAATTGTGTTTCAATGTGGTCATATTTTAATGGAAAGGAGAAAGTTTGGTGTTAAATTAATCCCGTTTAACGGTTTGGACCCTCATTCAAACAAAACAATTTCAAGTGAAAAATTATATTGCGATTTGCCAAAACATACAAATATTGTGAAGGCTCTTGAATTTAAGAACACAGAATTGACAATGAATGATATAAACAACATTGAAAGTATAGTTAAAGAAACTGGGAGTGAAGATAATAAAGATTATTTTAGCTTTATCGTCGACAAAGTTAAAGGAAGACAGATTCAAAATATTAGTGTTATTTTACTGAAAATGGAACTGTGCGGCGAGAATTTGACAGACTGGCTTCGTCTTAATTGTCATAAAGCTGAATCAATTAAAACTTGCGAATCTTTACAAAATATACAATTTAAAATTGTGACCGGACTAGTGGAAGCTGTAAAGTTTATACACTCTCAAAAAATTATACATCGAGACATAAAACCAGGAAATATTTTATTTAGCAAAAGAAATTTTATGTTACCCGTCAAATTATGCGACTTTGGAGTTTGTTATAAACTAGAGACTGATGAAGTAAATATTGGGGAACGAATAGGTTCAGACGCATACCGAGCACCGGAAATGGATTCGTCACAATATGGATTTAACGCAGACCTGTTTTCCATGGGATTAATAATGTTTGAAGTGTTACAACTAATTGGCAGACAGGAAAGGAATGAAATGTTTATGGAGCTGGTGATGAACGAAAATGTAATTGTCGTTATTCCACACGTTAGGATTTTAAACTCGAAGGAAATAATTGTTGCTCTAACCAAGCGAAACCCGGTGGATAGAATACAATCCATACATGAGGTTGTACTGGTATCACTGATGGAGACGAATTATGACACGGGCCGTACACCATTCAAACAAGTTATATCTCACAGGAGTTCAACTAATGCGATATTGGTAAGCAAATTTTTACATGACATAATTTGTGGTATTAAATCCCTTGTTTCTAACCAATGTAATGGCGTATGCAAAAACCCACTTTAGAAGATTAATTATACAATATGCAGTCGTAACCGAAATCATTTAACTTATTGAATTACAAAATTTATAGGATAATATGTCATCTTCAATTGAAAGATTGAAGGTATCACTTGGAATAAGAAAGATGCCCAGCATCCCCCCACTCCAAACTAATCCATTTCGGTCTAGAAACCGAAAACCTTTTATGAACAATTTTAATGGAGGCCACAACATTGCAGAAAAAGCTTCACAGATCCAATTGAACAATATATCAACCAAATCAAAACAATGTCGGAAAAGAAGAAAAATTCTTTCTAGAATTCGGTGAGTCTATTTAATTCGTAGGTAAGCAGTAATTCCTAAGGAATATATAAATAACATTCATAGTATTTAATATCATAATTAACCAGTTGATTACCAAGTACATGAATGTCATGTACTCGTTGAAATCGTTTCTAGGGCCCAAGTACATGAATGTCATGTAGTTAAAATTCGTGCTTTAAATCACCGTGACATCTAAATTTCTCAAAAACTTAAATTTTGAGAATATTCCTTTGGTATTTTGTGGAAAACTCCATGATAAAATGTTGTTTTTGTTTGATATTTTTCTTGAAAATTTTTGGAATTTTCCCTATACCAACCAATGTTAAAAAGTCGATTTCTTGTGTTTTCATCAAAAACTTCTAAAATTGGAAACTGGTTGAAATATTTCAAAAATTTAATTGGGTTGCTATCAGACGTTTTATGAAATAAAAATCGGGCTAAATCCAAACTTTTATTTCAATAAATGTGGTAATGAACATAGTATTTAATATAATAAACTTTCGGCATGTCCCAAGTAAATAGATACACGTTCTAAATTGAATGACATTTTTTTGCACGGACGGATCACATCTCTAAATTCCAGTTGGTTTATTGGTTCGGTACATTTCCACATTTAGTTTAATGTCGTGCATAAATCCCTCGACGACGGATCATCCATAAAATGCGGTATATACTTAAAACAACATTTAAATTGAACGAAAATTGAACGATTTTTCGAAAATTAGACATTTAAAAAAATCCTAACTTCAAAGTTTAAAAAAATAGTGAAAATGGTACTAAATCAGTATTACTTATTTCATGAATAATGACAACTCTACATTAAATTAAGGAACTAAAACCATTAAAACGATCAGTACAACACAATCTAGATTTTAAAACTGTTAACAACAATTCACAAAACCTAATTTTTGGCACCACAGTTTTCACTTATTAAATAATCAAATTTCACCAATTATCACGGTTAAAGCCGGCTCCATAGTCACGTATTTTCATGTCATGCTCTCTATCCTGTAATGCTAAATTTAACATTAGAGGATAGGGAGCATGACATGAAAATATGTGACTATGGAGCCGGCTTAAGGATTGAACTTAATTGTTACGATACAAATCTATATTATAATTTACAAAAGTCCGTCCCGCTGAAATTTTCCGTAACATTCCGTAACATAACAGAATTCTGATTAGTTGTTGATATTTGAATTGGCCAATCAGGAAGCAGGAATGGTTCCTCATCACAAATATGGACATGACTTTGGACATGATTTAGAACATGATTTAGAACATGATTTGGAACATGCTTAGGAACTTGATTTGGAACTTGATTTTGTACATGACTTTGGAAAAAGATTCATTACATTAAAAAAATCCTTAGCAACGTTAAAATATTTCTTGGCAATGTTAAAAAAATATGGCGACGTTGAAAAATTCCTTGGCAAAATTTAAAAAAATCCTTAGCAACGTTAAAAAAATTCCTTAACACCGTTAAAAAAATTTCTTTGCAACGTTACAGAAATCCTTAGCAACATAAAAAAATTCCTTAGAAACGTCAAAAAAAATTCCTGGGCAACGTGAAAAAATTCCTTAGCAATGTTAAAGAAATCCTTAGCAACATAAAAAAATTCCTTAGCAACGTCAAAAAAATTCCTGGGCAACGTTAAAAAAATTACGTAACTACGTCGAAAGAAATGTAATGTCCGAAGTTAGGAAATATCTTCTCAACTTTAAGCAAAACTCCCAAGCAACGTTAAGTAATGGGTGACAGCTTGCTTACAAATAAGGTAGCCCGTCTTTATGACGGGCTTATATGCTAGTAATTTTTATAACTTATTTCCTTACTCCAAAAGGAATAGGTTTCTAATTTGTGTAAATATTTAATAACCATTTATAACTTTCTAATTGAAATACTTATATAACACATTTAAGAAATATTTTATATTCGATAAAGTATTTACATCCATAAATATTTACAAGATTCTTCACTATTTTATTTAGCACGTTAAGTTTAGTTATGTGAGAAGAATAACGATTCATTCCTGTTATGTGCAGATCAAGATATTTGGCTGGTTTTCCTCGTTGGCGCAGAGAGCATGGAAAACTTGCATCCAATTCTTCAAAATATTTTTGTAAGCAATTATGCATAACCTCCAGATTTTGTGACTGATTTTTATTTCAATTTAAATTATAAATAGGTAACCATGGAAAGAAATTGGTGACAAAAAATATTTTTTGAAAATATTTTCGAAATAATTTATACATAATCAGTCCCTTCGTCCGGTTGAGATACCATGGGTTGACTTTGATCTTGACGAGGTGGATGAGAGCGCGATGAAGATGACGCCTGTTGAATTGCGATGGGTTGATATTTACGCCGTGTCAGGGGTTCCACACCTACGAATTAATAATTAGTTGAGACAATTAGATATATATAATTTATAAATATTTAGTGGCAATAAAACCTAAAATACCAAACCAAAATAATATGTAAAAGTAAATAGTGTCTTCAATAAATTGTTAAACATAATTAAATATGAGAAAAAATTATGATCCAGCAGCCAACAGGTAAAAGAATCATGCCAAATTGTAAATAGCCAAACTTACCACCGTCAAGGAACTTATGTATAAGAGGATGCTGCAAAGATTATTACATATGTATATGTATTATATGTCCACAAGTAGTTGGGCATGTTTATAAATAGTAACTGCACTCAAAAAACTGTTGTACCAACGTGTTACCAATTGTACTCTATATACGACTATTCCGTATCGATAAGAAAAGTGTTATCGAGTGCAAATGATTAATCATCGTGTGGTTGCATTTATCTGAAGTGCGGTTACAGTTTATTATCACTGGGTAGCAATTTTATTACCAACGTAAAATAGTAATATATGGAGTACAACCGGTAACCCGTTTTAATAGTGTACTAGCGGTAATTATATATTGCTTTATTTCAATTCAAATCAGTATATATACTTATTTTAGAATTGGTTTATTGGTTTATTTTAACAAAATAAAATAAAACAGCATGCAATCCATTATTTGTATCTAGAGCATCTTTCCAGCAACCCTAACTTTGGTATTAGTGTGTCCTAATTAGTTTAGTAAATTTATGTAGTTAAAAATACGCATTTAATATACAAATAATTGTATTTGTTTCTGAATTTTTTTGCGTAATTTATATGTATCACAAATTTACGGGAAAATGGCACAAAATTGACAATAAATATGAGAACTATTTTTCCTCGAAAACAATATAGGGTAATGTGGGGTAAGAGCGCGAAGGGTATCACTTTAACTTAATTTATATCTTTGATGTCACCATAATTGTGATCAAGTACAACAGTGGACATTGTTAACTGAGTCCTCCTTGTAATTGTCTTCAAAAGTTTCGATATCAAATTGCCCCAGAACAGCCACAAAATCAATTTTCCTAATCGCATATTTTCAATTAACAAAATGAATTCTCTTCCCATATTTTGTAATTCTGATTTCTTCGAAACCACATGATAAAAATATCCCATTTTTTGTATACTAACTCAGCATTAGCTGCACAAATCGTATCCAAAAAAATTAGCTCTGGTAGTGGCTTCGAAATTTAATTAAAATTTTCTCGCTCTTGCCCCACAGTTTCGAGAAATGTGGGGCAAGTGTGCGAATTTTGTGAGGCAAGTGTGATTCTAGAATAGTTTGCCTCAAATGTATTTTTTGACTTGTTGTGGCATGAAAATATATTAAACAGACCTATGCGAGTATGGAGAGAAGGTTTTGGATATAGATAACAGCTATGTTCACCATCTCAGGCAATGTTTACAACCATATTGGGAAGAAGAAGGAAGAAACCACTCATAGGTTGTTAAACTTTTAAAAATATTCAGATATAATCCATAATCCTAAAATTACATTATAATAGAAAATTGCAACAATACGAAGGTATTTCTAAATTGTTACGGCTTCGTTCTTTATACTTTTCCATCCGATTCTAGAAATTTGCAAAAAAATTCGTAAGATTAAATGGAATAAATAATGCTCATCGACACGAAAGTATTTATTAATGCTGAAAATTTAATCATAATTAATTTATTGAGATTATTCAATCAGTAAGAATTTTAGGGGTGTTTTTTTTTACGTCGGGAGATTTCAAATTTTGATAATTATTTACTAAAACGTTTCATAAAATTTATATGATAACCAAGATTTAATTTTCGAACAAGCTAATCTTAATGATAATTACATGAAGTATTATTTTTTTTTCAAATTAAATTCCGGATTTTTACCACGGCATTAAATTTTTACGATTAATTATTGTTCATAATCGGTCTATTAAAAATTTACAAAGGAGTAAAAAATCATTACAAACTTGGTAATAAATTAATAATAGGACATAATGCATACATGAGTAGGTCCAATTTTTGCTATTTTCACTCTCTCAACGCCTTCCCGACGATGAAATTACCGTTATCAAGAAGAAATTTAATGTTTTACCATCCCGGCAGGAGGATAAGCTCGTTCCAGGGTAGGAAATAACTCACTCCGATCCGTAGTAGATTTGGCAAGCTTGCAAATTTAGCAAATATTTGGAAATAAATGAAGTAAGATTACGAAGGAAAATCGAATGTACAGGTAACAAAAATTCGAGAAAAATGATTTAAACAAATCGGATTTGCACAAATTTTAGAAATTTTACACACTTTACAAATATTTGAGTAAACAAATTCGCTTACTCGTTGAAATTATTGACCTAACAAACAATATCTTTTTACTTATTCTAATAATTGAAATTTTATAATTTCCCAAATTGACTTCACCATCGTACAAATTATGACATAAATCCTTCCTATGCAAACAAATAAAGCAATCCGCGATTTCGTAAATTTAAAAATCCTACAAATTCCAAAAGTTTACAAAGATTGTGAAAATTTAAAATTAACTGGAAACGTTGATATTTTTTAATACAAAAAATATTTGGGATACTGATACATACGTCGTTGGTTTTAAATTTTGAAATATGATGTAGTTTTATTGAGCACAGGTTTTGCATTATGTTTGACAAAAATGATTGTTCAGTAAATTAAAACATTGCGTATTTTCTCAGAAATATATTAGAAAAAATACAAAGCACAGAAAAATATTTCAATTTATTGTAAAATTAATAATTATTAAAATCAATAATTCCCGAACTGCAATTGTATCGTGGGAAGGAAACAAATTATGATTTGGCTGTTCACAAATGTATTACGTAGTCAGTCAAAAGAAGCGTATCATAAATTTTAGAGTAGAAAATTCAGAAAATCGAAAATTTCAGAAATCGTGTGAATACATGACACTAGAAAATCCAATATTTTGCAAATTGTTCCAAAATCTTCCAAAATTTTCATCGTGCACTAACACGTAGAAAAATGTAATTTAATTAATAAATCAAATTACTCGTTGTCGTCGAGAAATGATATTTTAATTTATGACCACAATGGATTTTAACATGATATTTGATTTTATGCGACATGATAATGGATTTTATGTAATGACTTGATAATTTTATGAATATTGACTTGCATGCATGATGATGATGATATGTACATGTGTTTTATATGTGTGAGGTATGTTGAGACCCCGGCAGGGATGTAAATTTTAGTTTTACTGTCCCCCTTCTGGCTGCCACTAATTGGGTTTCTGTCCAAGTTTTTAATCTTTAAATTTGACTGTTTGACCCGTGTGAACTTGTGTAACCTTTCTCCTAATTGGCCAGAATAATTCCTATTGTACTCCCACTTCAGTCGTGTTGTCCCATTGTGATTGGAGTTTGTGAAAGTGGGGAGTTTTCTTGGTAATGGCCACCTGGTCCATATATGTGAAAAGTTGGTAAAAATAATTTTAGTAACACGACGACGGAGGAAAGACAAGCACCTCAAACATTGTCCTCTCGTCCATGAATTGTAACTCTCTCTACTCCTCTAAATTTGTAAAAGTATAAGAATTGGTGACATTAAATAACCTGAAACAACATCGATTTGTGACCACCGCCTGCCCTTATTTCTACGGTCACCGTCACCATAAAAAATCACGAGAAAATCGTCGTCAAACTTTTACACTCGTACTGAATAACCCTATCTGTTTTGTCACAGTTAATATTGGATATTCAGCAAAAATGTGAACCGACGCAAAAATAAGCAAATTATGAAAACCTCTTTGTGGCAAAATTTTTTTTAGCCAAAGTTCCATAAATTCCATTGAAAACATATGTAATTAAATCGTTTATTTAAAATACTGATATTGCTTAAAGCTATGTAATTTAGCATTTATTAATTAAATTTCATCAAAAACTGAAATAAAAGCATTCTGAGGAGTTTGCAGTGTAAAGAAGTAGGGCCGAAGACGATGGAGAGGATATTTCTCAGATTTCAAGGATTTAACCTAATTTGATGAGTTTTTGTAGAAAAAAATTTCTGCAAAGGTGTTTGTAAATTGTATAATTTATTTGTAATTTTTTATTTTTCAGGAAATCCATCATATCAACCAGGTAGAAATGTTCTCCTTAAATAATTTGACGTATTAATTATACAAAATTAATCACTCGTGTGATCCTAAGTTCCGTTAAATTCCGTTCCGTTTAATATATGTAAATAATTTTGGATTTATGTAACCAATTATTTTAATTCCATCAGAAAAAATAAGGGAGCTTGAAGTGTAAATAAATTCGGGGAGAGGAACAGATTTGTTTTACTTTGTGATAAAAAAATCTTAAAAAATAGCTGTACGACACTTGTTTGCATAGCTATGTATACTTTACATTTACATTACATCAAATCAATTTAATTTACAGTAAAAATATGAATGAACTGAAGAGAATTCTGTGATTTTTATTATAATTTTTTATGGAATCTTATGGGACTGGGTGAGCCCAAAGAATCAAAATAGAACACGACCATTGTCGTCCACAAGGCTAACTTTCACCGCTTGTCATGTACAACTTTAAAGGTAATCTTGGATTTATTGATTGATTGATTGATGATGCTTTATTTATCGGGTCTAACAAGTTCACAGTAATACAACCATGCTCTTCCACAAGTGACCACATCAATTATACAAATATATAATAAAATAGAATTAATCTACGAAGTAAAATTTGAAATTCAGATAAACAACAAGACAGACAAAATACATAACCGAGTTATAACCAAACAGTAACAAATCAAATATCAATAAAGCTTATCCAATGCCAAAATTATCAAATATTTTATGTAACAAATCATATCTATAGTTAAAATAATCGATCGTTGTTGTAACATCATTAAAATGCGATCTTAATGGGTTTAGTAATTTAGCAAGTTTGAGCAATAATTTGTTATAATTGATTATATTCTTACAATTAACAACGTCTGTCATTCCCGTCTCACAAATAAAAATCGGTACACAATTAGGGCAAGCCCAAATTTTAGAAGAAGTGATATTCCAATATGAGTAATCAGATACAGTTATATTACATCTGTTTTTGTGATAAAAATTCATGCAGTATACGCATTGTAAAGTACCAATTCGCCAATCATCTCTTTTCATATCGTCCTTGAAAATTATAGTGTAGGTGGTACCATTGTAAATTAGGATGTTGGATTTATCCAAAATCCCTTCTCCACAAAGGTGGCATAGCGGTCCCTCAGCCTCTTCGTAGTCCCAGTATTCGGGCTCCAGGAAATAATTGACGGCGTCGTTCATTTCATCAAACATCCCCCCATTAGCGATGATGACATTAGTCGCAGGATTCGCAGTGGCGACGAGGTCCTCAATTTTCACAGAATTGTCCATGACTCTTAGCTTGTGTTGGTGTGGCTTCAGTAAGAGATGATATTGCATACAATTTAAGGGCGGCTTAGTTTCAGGTTTGTTTTTTCACGAATAAAGTGGAGTTTATTGGATTTGTAAATGTAATATCTTTTGACATAAATTTTGTTAGTATTTATATGGAAATGGGATACATACAATTTTTTGGAAAGTTCCATTTTTAATACCCAAAATACAGATATATGAATTTCTAGAAATTATTGAATTTACTTTTTTAAGTTAATCAGTGAGTATTCCTATTTTTAGGCGTTTTAAGATAGCCTTATACAATTGACTCTTGTATGCACGATAACTTAATTTTGAGCATGTTGCCAGCATAAAGGATTTGTGAAAACCATTTAAAAAATCGTACAACTCTTCCCCTTAATTTTTACATGTATTTCATGAATCCTCCATCGATATGAAATTCGCATGTTCAATTAAACATAATATATCTGCTTGGCAACATTGTCAAAACAAGAAATTATAATGACTTGAATTGGTTCCAGTGCAGATATAAAGTACATTTTCATTGTGGAAAAACTAAATTATGAAAAATGAGGGTATAATGGAAAAATTTAAACCCAAATTTTACAAATTAATTACTTTTATTTATTTAGCAGAAGCGAGAAGGGGAACCTATGTGTTAATCAGGTTAAAATATTTCAAAATAATTACCTTTGACGTTGAAATAAGCAATTGAATTGATTTTGGCTTGATTTTGGCACCAGTTTATACGATTGAAAAGCGATTTTTTAGCACTCGGCCGATTTTGATGTATGATGGCTTAAAATTTTCGTATTTTTTAGTAGAGAAAGAATCTGCAATAATATTGGGGGGGGGCAGCCCAGTGGATTTCGAGATACAAGCCAAAATGTGCGAATATTTTGCTAATTGTGAGAAATTTAATTCATTTGGCATAACTCGTCCCTATTTCATCGGAAATCACGAAAAATAATTTTTAGAATTATTTTGCGTTAATATTTGTTAATATAAACCTATACGATTAACTCCCCGTTTTTTCATCTTCCTACGATTTTGCTCTATGATAGCTTAAAATTTCCGTAATTTTGAGCACATCGAGAATCCGGAATAATCTTGATATGGCGGGGGGTCAGGGGAGGCGCTACAGCCCAAAATGTGCGAATTTTTGCCAATTTTGTGGCATTTAATTTGTGACCGAAACGAGGCCAATTCTGGACAAATTAGGCTCAAAATCATTCATAGAATTAGTTTTGAGCAAAATAATCCTACTTTGCCAAATTTGGACAACTATGTGACAAATTGGACAAATTTGCGAAATTACGCTGCTATTTGCGCTGTATTAGTTAATATAAACCTATACGATTAACTCCCCGTTTTTTCATCTTCCTACGATTTTGCTCTATGATAGCTTAAAATTTCCGTAATTTTGAGCACATCGAGAATCCGGAATAATCTTGATATGGCGGGGGGTCAGGGGAGGCGCTACAGCCCAAAATGTGCGAATTTTTGCCAATTTTGTGGCATTTAATTTGTGACCGAAACGAGGCCAATTCTGGACAAATTAGGCTCAAAATCATTCATAGAATTAGTTTTGAGCAAAATAATCCTACTTTGCCAAATTTGGACAACTATGTGACAAATTGGACAAATTTGCGAAATTACGCTGCTATTTGCGCTGTATTAGTTAATATAAACCTATACGATTAACTCCCCGTTTTTTCATCTTCCTACGATTTTGCTCTATGATAGCTTAAAATTTCCGTAATTTTGAGCACATCGAGAATCCGGAATAATCTTGATATGGCGGGGGGTCAGGGGAGGCGCTACAGCCCAAAATGTGCGAATTTTTGCCAATTTTGTGGCATTTAATTTGTGACCGAAACGAGGCCAATTCTGGACAAATTAGGCTCAAAATCATTCATAGAATTAGTTTTGAGCAAAATAATCCTACTTTGCCAAATTTGGACAACTATGTGACAAATTGGACAAATTTGCGAAATTACGCTGCTATTTGCGCTGTATTAGTTTAGTCACGATTGTCATTTAATTTTTGTATATTTTTAATGAATTACGAAACAATATGTGTAAGATAGTTTTTTTGCATACAGGGATTTGATGTAAATGATATTTGTTTCTGGGTAGACTAATTGTATTGTAAATGAAAGAATTAACAAATATGGTTACATTACGTTCAGACAAGTTGCATCTATATTTGTTTCGCAAATAGATTGCGTTACAAATTTAGTCAACATTTTTGCTCAATAATAATTGTGGAAAAAATGACATTAATTAAATTTACAAATAATATTTGATTGCTGTGTGATGAATTGTATTATAAATTGTTTACCTAGGTTAGTCAACTATACGAAAGTTTGTTTACCACACGAAGATTCGTATCCAAAACGTCGCCTTGTTAATATTTAACCTTTGTCTACTGCATCCAATTTACAGATCGCATTTGGAATAAATATGACCAAATCGGGAAAATAATCGATTTTCCCGCTTTAGTTATTCCACGACTGAAATTTGGAATTTATATTGACAATTTTCGAACTAGTCTAAATATCTAAGGTTTTTCGACATATTTGCATGTTATGAATTTTTATGATGTATTTTGAAAAAAAAGTTCTGGACTTTTGTTGCCAAAGCAGAATTTTGTAACCAACACGAAGGTGTGTCAATTACTCGTCGCCTTGTTGTAAATTACGATTTGTAATTTTTGCAATTAAATGTAACACGGAAGAATAAATAAGTTAATTTTGCTAAGTGCGTATTAATAAATTTAGTGAATTTGGTTCTTTGAAAACCTTGTAAAACTGATATATTATAACTCTACTTCTACACACGTTGCAAATTCACACGAGTGCTAAAATAGTTTAAAAAATTAAAATACCCATAATTTTTACTATTTTGTTTATCCCTTCCTGCTTACTCTTTCAAAATTCAATTTATCCGTCAAGTTGTTAATCTAATTATTTATCAAGCACGTATACTCCTCTTAAAAAATAACTCTTGCCGTAAATCCGAAACACTTTTGAAATTGTTTTCGCTGAAAATATGCATACACAGTAAAAAGTAAATACATTAGATAGGGTAAAAAATAACTTGGTGTGGGGCAGAAAGTGATCCGACCCTACATCGGGTGAAACCCAAGAAATGGAGCACGGGGTTATGCACTTTACCCGATCTGGCACCACGCTAACCCTGCATGTGGCAACCAGAAGAACACTGCGCAGGGTACCACTGGGGCAAGTTGTACTGTATATGAAGCATCTGTAACCCTTTGCTGGGGTAGTTATATACCCCATATAGTTTCGATTCGATTATATGCAGTAAAAAATTTTACTCTATATTATGCATCCATAATTTTTTAATTTTTATTAATGATCTTATTAAAATATAAACAATCATAATTATATTGAAGGAAAATCCAAAATTTAGTTGATGACCGAGGGGAATCAGTTTTTCAATAGCGTCCTTTCCAATAAGTGAAGTGCCTAGTCCTTAATCTTGATCTCTAAAAGTCAACACAATCGGAATTAACTATAATTAAATAAAACTTTAATTAATATTTAATGCTTACCTTCAAATTAGGAAACCACCTCTTCCAGCCCAAGTTGTGTCGAAACCATACTACTTATTTATTCCAGGGTAGTTCACTTTAATTTATATGAAAATATTTCGGATGAAATAAATAAATATGTGAATTGTGCTGGTCTCCCGACTACTGACTGACTAGACCAAAGAAACAAAAATAAAGCCACACAGATTGGCCGCGCATTTCAATTTCTACTTCATATTTAGTAAAATCGGCTATGTGGGGTAAATCTTGGTCGATGTCGGGTACCACACTTTTGCGTGAAGTAAAATATCCTATGTATGGGGTTATGATTCGTCGTTTTCCAAATGTAGGGTATAATATTTTTTTACTCAAATTGCGGGTTACGCTAAATATTTTATATGACATCAGTTTTACATCATTTCGAGTTGTGTCATTTTTTACTTTTCGAAAAGTTAAACATATTTCTCACTGTGTAGGAAGTTAACGCACGTGTCGAAATATTGTACACGTTAATTCATTTTAGAATAATTTGAAACCCTTAACCTCAGCGAACAATGTATCCCTTCATCATTATCAAATTATTGCCAATCAAATGATTGGCCCACATTTCTTCAATATGTGTGTATCAAAAGTAAACCTAAAATTTGCACTTTTTGCAAAACTCGAAATTTTAGACAAATTAGAAAAATTCATGCACAGATTTCAACAGCAATACTCGTAAATAACAAAACAAAGTGGGTTTGTCAAAACGTTCGAACAAAACGTTCTCACGTTTTGATAAACCCCAATTTCAGAATCTGTAGCGGCATCCAACCTCAATCTTTCTGGACTTTCATTCTACAAAGTTTCAAATTTCTATCACAACCTATGAGAGAGATATCAAAATTTTATCAAACTTACGGGAGGTACTGTACGTCATCTACTAGTTTTCAATTATCCTCAAATTTCCAATATTGCAACATTAGGCTTTAAAGCTGCACAATTTTACAAACGATTAAAGAAGCTAACCTAAGTTGGAAATTAAGTACAACTGGCCAGTGTGTGCAAAAAGGCTGCCTTTTTGCTTTTTTTCGATGCCTTTTTGCCTTTTTGCCTTTTTCAATGCCCTTTTGCCTTTTTGTGTGCCTTTTTGCCTTTTTGTGTGCCTTTTTGCCTTTTTGATGCCTTTTTGCCCGAATGAATGCTTATAACATTGGAAGAACAAAACTTCCAGAGTTTTGATAATTTTCGAAATCGAAATAAATATTCGGGTAAACCATTTTCGAAAATTTTTTTCGTAAAATCTAAACATTTTTCAATATTTGATAAATAATTTTCTTTATTTTTCAGCGAGCTAGTTTTCCACACTACGTAACCATCAATTTTTGATTAAGGAAAAAATGTAGTAGGAGAGGGATCACTTTAATACTTGAAGGGTCCAAATTCTTCTTCAGGACGGCGATGTGTTTACATGTCGGTGAATTGTGAGGGAATGGGAAAAAAGGATGTGAAAAAGGGATGAAAAGTAAGATACATTGTGGGATAGGATGAAAAGACCGTTAAAACCACGTGTGTGCATAACGGTCATTAATTTAATTAATTAACATTAATTTGTTAACATTAAGTTAAATTAACGTTAATTTTTGATTAATACCGGTTACGAATTATTTCTTTTTTGGGTTTCAAACCTACATATTGCTGCAAATATCTTTTTCTTTCACTTTTGAAATCTGCAAAAATTTCTACAGCAATAATATGGCGTCAAATAAAACAATTATTAAAAAAAATCCTTTATTTTTCAGAGGAAAAAAGTTATCTTATATTTTATCTCTGTCCGTTTATTTTTATAGTTTTGCTAAAAACAACTCTACGCGGCTCGCGTAGAGTTTTTTTACCTTTCCTTTCCAGAGATACCTTTACCTTTACCTCTCCAGAGGTAAAACTTGCGTTACGAGAACATACGGTAAAAACTGAAATTTAGAATAATTTATTAAGATCAATTTTTATTTACCAATTTTTTTTCTATTCAATTTCCTACGATCTGAAATATTAATTTCCACTGAAACTCTTTCAAAACCAAAATTCTGACGTGAAACATAAACATTTTTCTATATTGTTTTATTTTCCAGTGGACTCAAACAATATTTGAATATGATATGAAGTATTTTATGGAAATACGGACTAATAAAAACTGTTGCGAAATTATTAACAAACCTGTAACGAAAGATTAGAGACCGATAAATATGACAAGATTTTTAAGGTGATGTTGTATTTTTAAAGGCTTGGATAACTTGAGAGGTTAAAAGTCTAATTGTCACCCCGTAAAAATCCAGTATAGCAAAGTAATTAAGGTTGGAATAGTTTTTTTCAGAATTTCATGTTGTGTCAGCTGTCGCGTTCAAAAGAATAAAGAAAAATCTAACAACAAGCTAATAAATGTCAAGATTTTACATCAAATTCAGTTTTGTTTAAAATTATGATACAAATTAATAGTTCAGATTATTTTAGATTCGTGCATACACAAATGAAACCAATTTATAGCAGGTGGAAATTAATTGTTAAATGTGAAACAAATTATTATACATTATCTTATAAAGCCCTTAGCAATCTGTTGTGGAAATCTATTTAAGAAAACCTTTGGATTTCTAATAGAAGACAACTTTCTTGTTGGAAAATTCACAAAATTTAAAATAATGAAACCAATTCCACGAATTTATGACAAATTTATTTTTTTTAACGATATAAAAAACAATTGGGAGGGAAATTGGGAGGGAGACATAGTTTTCCATCTCATTGAACTCTCATTAAATAAAAATGTTTCAGTTATACGCCGACATTGTACATAATGTTTAAACAATATTAACTTAATATTATCCAGGTTCAACTACGTGACAAAATATACCTTGTTTTATTTTTTGTCAAAATACTTAAATTATCTTCTACTAAATTTCTTGTTTTTTTATCCCTATGTGCCAACACATATTCAGCATGCTGGAAAAATATAGTATTAGAAATTAGGTAAGACACACTCCAAATTGTATAGAATTAGTCACTTCACGATTTCAAATTGTTCTCACATATGATTGCAAGTACACTTAGAAATTGATCAAACTATTCGTTCTGATAAAAGAGAAGTATTTGTTCTAGAAATTGAAATAACTGGTTATAAATTATTACCACATGGATTGTATATAACTCAACCTTTAGGTCATAACGAGCATTACTGTTTTGTAGTAAGAAATAAATATAAATCCCATAATACTTCAATCCATGTTACATAAGCAAGGATTGCAAATTACTAACTTCACCCGTCTCTTAAGATTTACGTCATATGAATAATACAAACCTAAGTAACGAATCGATTAAAATATTTTATAAAAATCAAATTTTGGCGTGAAATCTAAGCATTTTACGAAGATTTTAATTACAATTTTCTCAACGGTGGTTTGGTTAGGCTAAAATTTCCTTAATTTTGCCTTACAAATTTGTGGAAAGAATTAATTTTTGTGTTCAGTTTAGTGTAGGAAATTATAGTTGAGGAGTGTTTTTTACTATTTTGATAAACATTTTCAGCGGCAAAAAAATTCGTTGATTTATGAAAACTTTTAGGACACTGTCACTGTTAATTCATGATAGTTTGCTAAAAATAATTTGTAAGCGGTTTGGTAGTATTTTACTACAGATAATATTTTACTGGTACTATTGGTCCTAAGGATAGAAACAGACGCGTGGCGTGCAAAAATACGCAAGAATGGAGCAATGCATGAAGGGGAAACAAAAAAATCTGTTTTATTTTAAGCTGTTCATTTTGTAGAAAAATACAAATTTTGGCGTACAGCTTAAACATTAAAAGATATTAAATTCAAATTTTATAAACATTTCAACGAAAAAGTTGACACTGATTTTAGCACTTTGGAAGACGACAAAGTTTATGTAGGTAAATCATTCCCAGTTTTGTACTTCTTTTTCACCATTCTGGTAATAGATTATTACTGGTTATGAATTATACCTTTATCTGTTTACAACTCTTTCGAATCTAGCTTCTATTGTAGGCATATTTTAAATTTATTTTGTAACTCAAATAATTTATAAGTTAGACATCTAATTGTCTAATTTTTGTTATCAAATTCATTTATTTCCCAACGGAGAAAGTTGGCACGTGCTTTTACTCTGCCTGCGTGTGGAAAGAAAGCATTTGAAACTGAATTTGAGAATAATTTATTAACATTTTGCTCATAAATTTTTTGCGTGTACTGTACAAGGCAAACATTAATGTCACAAATGTTATGTATTTGCAGATCATTATATTTACGACATGTTGGCAACCCTAATTATTCATACGAATTGTTACTTCTGATAACCAGTCACTCAAACCTACTAATTTAAATTACAACTCAAGGCTTTTAAAAAATAAGCTGTTGGCACAAAACTACAAGCTTTTTGATAAGTTTACCATTTTTTAGGAAAAAGTTGACATGGGAAGAAAGCGTTTAAACTGGGAATAGTAAACACCATCTGAATTTTCCAAGGAGGAAGTTAGCCTTAATTATTTCACATTTTTGCTTTCAAAAATGCAAACATGTTTTTATCTACGTTTATCGCGACGACGAGTGATTTTAAAAAAAAATTTTTCAAACTTTATGAAATATGCAGATTAGAAACTAAACGTGTTGAAAAAAATTTGAAATATTTTAAAAAATGGCATTAATTTACTGCTAAAAACGCTAATAGTCCCAATTGATTTGTAAAGAATTAATCAGTACATGTACAAATTTTACAAGGAGAAAATAACGGTGTTGAAGTCATTACAGGAATTGCAAATTTTTGAAATGCCTACTTTTTTCGATGAATAAATTAAATTTGTAAAGCGATTTCAAGACACCAGGAAGAATCGAAATCAGATTAATTACAATTTTGCTGTCTCGTGCGACACAAGGACAATTCGATCTGGGATTATTCCAAAAATCAACCTTGTTTCACTTCCGCTTTCACTCATTACTGTCGCTTTGAACATACTTTCTGCAATATACCGATTGAGTGGGAAAGGTTGAATTCTGTTAAGTGTAATGTGAAAGCCTTTTTTTATTAAATTTAACGAGATTTCGCTAAATATTTAATTAATTAAAGATTTAAGTACATTTCGTAATTATTATCAATTTTGGTAAACATTCACGCTACTTTTTCATGCGATTTTTAAATCATTATACAACTTTCAGGTTGTTTTTCACTAGAAAACGTAATCAAAGTAATAATAATAATATAATAATAACCAAGACTGCGTTTTATTGCTGTTTTAAAAATTAAAATTGTAAACGTGGCCATGAAATTGGACGAAATAAATTGTTTTCATTCGAAAGTTTTTATAAGTCAGCAAAAAATAAGGTTCATTTTCTTTAAATTGTTTTTTTTGACATATTGCATAACTTTAGAGCCAATAATTTTAGTGACTTATGTTTTGGTTAAAATATTAATCAGATTTTATGTACACTACACCTAATGCTAACATTGAAAATTGATAAATTAATAAATGAACTGATTCATACACATTCCTAGAATACTGCACAAATTGAACTGTTGAAAAAATCTGGATGAAAATGGATCAAATCAATATGACAAAATACTTCAACAATGTAATTTCTTCACAAATAAAAATTTAATGACTTTACAAAATCTATAAAAATTTATTTTTACAAAATTGACAAAATATTAAAGACGGTTTAGTTTCAGTATTTAACTTTAATGAAAATTTACTCAAATTAGAAATGCTTCTACTAAAATTAAAACAACAATGCTGTCAAAAATTTTAACGGTCTAAATTTTATCCAAAATTTTATTAAAATCAACTTCTGGCGTAATTTTGTTCAAAATTGGACAACACAAAAAGTTAGTTTAATTTTCATCACAAATCTTCTAAAACTGGTAAAATAATATACATAATTATGCATTCCTTGCCAGTAGAATTGATATTGACGAATTGCTAGATTTGTAAAATAATTAATTACTGATTGATTATCCTTCATTCGTATTTATATTATTAAAAAGAGTAATGCTCATTATTATCATACTACTAGAGTCGATTCGGTATCAATTTATTACCAGCAATTATGAGTACGATAAAGTTACCATAATTATCTCGACGTAGGTTCCACAATTCTAAATGAGTAAACCAATTTTCAAGCATGGTTTTTGCACATGCAATTTCATCTTGGAAAGTTTGCAACCAGGACGTTAATCTATAAATTGTTAAGATATCTTAATGCAACGGTATCGTGACCAAGATATACCAATTTGGTCAATTCCGTATAATTTAAAAAATGAAACGAAACATTCAATGGAAAGCGGAAGCGTGGAAAATGTACATAAGATTTACAATAGTAATTTACATACATTAAGTGACATGAAAACCTGTATGTAAAACTTTTCTAAAAAATAATACTTTGAAAAAAAAACAGGTGGCACATGATCAAACGATACATGCTCATCTTTGAATTTGAATTTTGGTCGATTTGGAAATTGTTTTCGCATAGCAGAAATTCAAATAAAAACCTTTCTATAATTAGGGCAATCCTTCATATTTGATTTTATTGGGCCGCAAAATGTTTCGTAATTCAGTTTTCCGTTCAAGGTGTTTTTATGTGTTTTATATGCATCAAATAATTTTATGCATTTATGCACTTCGAATTGAAATCAAGTAAATTTTACCGAATGAATAAGTTTATTCCTCGGGTATAATTTCGTAGGTTCTTTTTTAAATTAATGGAATTTGTACTGATTTCGATTTCAACTTAAATTTCGATTTTGAATAATATTCACGCCAATGTGAGTTTTCATAAATTTTTGCATGCATCTAATACGTTTAGATTTGTCAGGGAATGAAACATAATTACAGTTAATTGCAATATAATTATAATTATTAATTAATTTCCACACCTTGACCTTTTCGGTCAAGGTCCAAACTAAATTTCATAAGCTAGTCCGTTGCGAGAGGTAATTTTCATTAATTATAAAATTTGTTGTGCATATACATATTTGTCTGCGTAATATTTCAATCAATGCGCGTGTGCAAGGTTTTTTTTTAAAGAAATGGTCGTCTTTATTGAGGTGGCTTTAGGTTGTCTATGTTTAAGGGTAATTTAAGACGGTAATTTAATCGTTTACAAAATTGTATAGTGTTAAACGTGATGCTGAAATGTTTGGATGTACGATTATATTACAAACTTAAGGAATGAAATAGTCGCTTTTTGTACTACAGCGACCTTGCACAGCGAAGGGAAACACTTTACATTATTTCCCTAATTTTTTGTTAATTGATAACAAGGATTGAATTTATTCCAATAAAGAGAGCATAATTACCTAATTTTCCAAATATATCAAAATGAATAAAAATAATGAGGCAACGTCTTCTACCGGGTAGGACCTGAGTCACTGCCTGTCACCCAAAATCTTCTTGCCTCGGTTTATCTAATAAATTGAATTTCGTTACATTGAACTTTGATACAAATCAAATTGGCTTACAAATTTTATAATGTTACACAAATCATGGGCGTCCTTTAATTTTGTAAAAGTTTCTAAGATTATTTTATAAAGTTTATTGATGTCACAAATTACTAGGATTGGGCAAATTCCCTCATTGTTAATTTCATTGTCAACTTTGCGAATTAAAAAAATGAATTCAGTAATGTCTGATTTGCTAGGAATACATATTAATGTAGCTATTTTATTGCCCAAGATGGTAATATTTTGTCACACCATGAAGTTTTCGTGCATCTTTTGACGAGATTAAATTGGTCAATATTTTAAATGAATCGATATCGAATTTACTCGAGAAACTAATTGTTTTAAAATATATTTTTTTGAGCTCACGGTGTAAAAAGTTTCTCATAATTTAGGTGACTTGAAATCCAAAATTATTTATTTAACGACAGCAAATATTAAAGTTTACTTGTACAGATGTGTCCCTTAATCCTGCTCCAGAGTTCATGTCATCATCATGTCATGCCCCCTTTCTGATTTTTTGATTGGTTAAAATTTTTAATTGTTATGGTGATTGTAGAAAATTGGCGTGATATGAGGACTGTATTTTGATGCGGCGATGTGTGAAATGTGACCGTAAGCGGTGGTGGTGACCGTAGCAAGTAAATGGTCGAAGGTGGTCACTCACAATGTTGATTCGATGTTAATTTTGAATTTATTGTCACAATTCACACAAATAGAGAGAGTTACAATTTCATACGAGGAGACGACACTGAGAGACACTAGTTTTTCCTCTCCTGTCGTCGTGACACAAATTTTACTGTCGAAAGGTCAAATATAAAAAACACAATGATTCTCCAATTTGGAACGACAAGGTCGAATGAGTGGTCAGGAGGACCGACAGAATGAGAATGACACAAAATCACACAATAATTATTTGGAGAGTCAGCCATAGGGGCTGGCTCTCAAAACACTACACCAATCACGGGCGGAGCACGCCCACACAAATTACAGGTCAAAAAATGGGAAGGTCAACCAGTTTTGAGGAGAAACATAACTTATGGACAGACATACGAAAGGACTAAATTGGACTGGAGACATGACTTTACATATTTTACGGCTCCCACAAATCTCATCTCACATCGCCTCACACAAATACATGCACATCATCATCATCATATCAGTCAATATTCCTAAATTTTCATGTCAATGCATTAAATTAATATTCTAAATGGCTCGACTTCAGTGATAATTTCCATCAGCCAATCAAAAAATCAGAAACGGGGCATGACATGATGATGACATGAACTCTGGAGCAGGCTATATTTTGAAGGGGTATGAAAACCAAATAAATAAAATAAAATAAATCATTTAGAAAATTTATTGATATTTGGGTCTGAATTTTGGTTGGAGTTGCCATTACTTAATTTGGGCTTATATAAAATTTTGCATGCAACTATTAGAAACTTTTTGAAACAAACAATTTCATGGGTAAACTTGTTAAATGAGGATATTTAAAAAATTAATCTTTTAGAACCAGTTGCGACACAAAATATGTACATTTTTTTTTATTTCTGGGGAATAATCTGATCAAAACATTGCAAAATTACCAAGATTTCGTTGCGAGCAAATTCATTTATGAAATTAATTAATTAATTAACCAAACTCCCATTTGTTTCAATGTTATTCGTAACTTGTGAGTGAGTTTTTAAGGAGTTTTGATGTGCATTCGATTTTGTATCTGGTTTCCCCTTTAAAATGAAATTTTGCATGAAAAATTTTTCTTGGGTGGTAGTATGTTTTGATGCAGATTTTTTTTGTATATGCCTTAACCCCACTTCCTGGCTTTGATATAAAGAAATAACTTCGATGTATTTTCAATTTCCTGGCAGCAGCAGATAAAGTTTTGTATGAGTGTTGCTGAAAAAAAGTTTTATCGATTTCAACTTTCGAGGGGGTGTAATCATGGGTGGTCAAATTTATTGTTAAACAAATAAATTATAAACTTATTGCTTTACCTTTGATGCAAATCAAATGAATTTGCATTAAAAATTTGCAAAAGTGGAATGTAGTTTATAAGATAAAAGTATTTGCTATCTTGAAAATTTGTTAGGTAGGCTTTTTCTTCAGGACTTTACATTTCTTGTGATTGTGAAATTTTAATAAATTGCAAAATTATCACTGGATGGTAATAAATGGTAATAAATAATTTTCGCAAACTTTTCTCAAAGTTGCAAAAATTTTGAAAAGTCAGTACAAATAAGGTTTTAAATATTTAATTTATTTTAAGTAGAATTTTAAAATACGTCAGATTTTGACGCCGTTTGTAGTGAAATGAGTTTATTGAGATAGAATTAATTTAAAAAACAGATAGGTACTAAAAAAAATAGGTACTAGTACAATAGGTAATCACACATTGGGTTAGTTGAAGTTTAGAAGTTTAGAAGTTTAGTTGAACAACGAATTCATAATTATTCTGTGCCTCTTTTTAAGTTAAGCGGATTAGTTTTAATACCAAAATATATTAATACGGATTGGATGATATAGCTGTGTCGTACGTAAATTCAGGAAGTTTGACAACTTCAGAGGGGTATTAAGATTAAAATCTACTCGGACAAATATTTTTCGGAGGTTTTTTAATTTTTTACAATTATGCTACAAAACATACACAGATTGTAAGCCTCCCAGCTACATAGTTGTGTCTGGAAGAATTCAAATTATTAGAAATTCCAGAATTTTGGATCAAAATTCTATATTTTTTTTTGTAATTTCTACATCAAGTTGTGTTGAAACTGAAGTATCATGTATTTTAATTAGTTCCCAATTATGGGTTTATATAATTTGATTTTATTCTATGACAGTGCGAGGAATTACCCGATCACTTTGTTTTGGTTAATAATTTAAATTTCTGGCGGGAAAAATCTAAAATTCGTTTTTGCCGTTCATAAAACAAACATTTTGAAAGCAGCATGTTAAAATTTCAAAGCATTGTGATGAGAAACAAATTTTCTACAAGATTTCAAAGTGAGGAACTCGCAAAACGAGTTTCAGATAAGCCCAAAAATTTCTAGTTGGGAAAAAAAATATTTATTTTCCCAACCAGAAATTTGAAATTTCGAATTTAAAAAGAAATTAGAAAAAGTAAAAACTTCATCCACTTTATTGCACATTTTCACAATTTTTATTTCTATAATTTTACATCATATTTGTTTATTTATTTATTTATTTAGGCTAAAAAATTAGTTTTTCAATCAATTTTCATATAAACTCTTAGCAAATTAGTAAATTTATTCCTTATTGGTAGTAAGTTATCACCAGCTGATTAGTAATTTTTCATTGTTATTACACTACAAAACAAATAGTGGGGGTTTTCACATCACCGTCGTAACTGTCGTAAATGGCGTAACTTTCGTAAACTAATGTTAATTTAAGTTACTTACGAAACTTTACGACATTTACGACAGTTACGACGGTGATGTGAAAACCCCCAGTGTAATATTAATTATTATTGCCATACCGGTATCATTCCAGTCATGAGTTATTACCACTTGTCACCCATAGTCCACCTACAGCAAACCTTCACATCAAATAATAAAAAAAATAAAGTTTGGCTTAAAACACACAGAAATATACGTGGTAAAAATTTCATTTAATTTTTCCTGTCTCCGCATAACAAGAAAGTATCAGGTTGAAAGCTGTTTTGAATTTTAATTTTTACAGTTTTTTTACAATTGTAACTAACTTCATCTTTCAGTTTCTACAAATTCTGAAGACAAAACTGTGTCAAGTCATTTACAAAATACAATTTTGGCATAAAGATTTGACATTTTTTAAATTTTTATTTTTTCATACTTATTTATTATCACCACAAATAAATATAAATACTTTGCGCATAATGCAGAACGGGAAAGAACCTTTTTGCTCATTTTTTTTACCAAAAACCTTGCAAAACTAGAAATTTGGGATAAATCTTGTTAGGTTAATTTCCTCGTGAAAGTAACCGCTATACATGTTCTGTATTATTTTTCATGGAGAAAGTTGGCACAGGATTCATCACGTGGAAATTGCGAAAACTATGCAAATTCACTTTTACAATTAGTACTTTGAATATTATTTTGGTTAAGAATATGATTTCTATCGATTTACAATAAAATTCTTCATCTTTTCATCCTCTTTTGTTAATTAGCTGTTAATGCCGTTTAAAAAAATAAAAGATTTGCATTAAAAACAAGGCAACATTTTAATAGTTGATTTTGCCAATATTTTCCATCCAATGAAAGAAACTTGATACTTTTTCCTGGTACTACATATGAGAAAGAGAGAACAAAATTATCTTATTTGTATGTATGTCAAGATAATATCCGTTCCAAAAATGTACAATCTAAATTAATCCAGGAATGTAGCTTTCAGCACTTTACACTTCCATTGAGAAAGTAGGTTATGAATGTGTCAAATCATAAATTCTTACTTTATGTCATACCCAAAGTATGTATTACATTTTATTATGTCCTCTGGTCCATCCTGTTTTCCAAATCAATTCTATTTCTAACATTGTATGATTGAGATTATAAATTGGCTGACATGCAATAATAAAACTATTAGTTTGCACTGAACCTCTGTGGTAGCAACTTTTCTCAATTTGGTAGCAATAAGCCTGGTTCTCGATCCAGCCAAAGTGAGACAGTTCACTTTGCAGTTTTTTGATAATCTCAAAGAGTACCCGGAGTAAAGGTTGGATATGCCCGTTTAAACAGGCATTTGTCAGGTAAAAAGCTAAACGCTTTTCCTTACTTATGGGAGAAATTTGAGATTTCTATTAACAATCATCGGTTATCCGCTCACTTTTCTCAAAGTGCAGTGAAGAACAATCATCGGTTATCCACTCATTTTACACAAAAAGTGCAGTGAAGAACAATCATCGGTTATCCACTCATTTTTCTCAAAGTGCAGTGAAGAACAATCATCGGTTATCCACTCATTTTACACAAAAAGTGCAGTGAAGAACAATCATCGGTTATCCACTCATTTTACACAAAAAGTGCAGTGAAGAACAATCAACGGTTATCCACTCATTTTACACAAAAAGTGCAGTGAAGAACTCACACGCAAGCAAATAACAGTAAGTGTGTTAGGATCAAGTTACATCGCGTACGTGAACTTGAAACAAGTAGTGTGAGCAAAAGTGCAGTTAGAGCGACGATCAACACGATGTCTACTACTACACCAAAGCCACTCATGTCCCATATCAAGCCTCTGTCAAGCTCCAACTATGCACGCTGGAAGCTAGAAGTAAGTACTGCTCTCCAATCGGTGGAATTATGGGACCATTGCGATGGCAGTAAAAAGAGACCTGTTCCTACTGCTTCGGATCCCAAGGTGGATGAGATAAAGAAATGGGATAAAGAAGATGCCATGGCCCGTAGCTGCATCATCCCGTTGCTGGACGACCGGCAGATAAATCATGTGAGCAACCTGTCCACAGCGCAGGAGATTTGGCAGAAGCTGAAAAAAGTGCATGATGATACGTCTGCATTGAACAAAGATCAAACATTGACTCGCTTCTTCAGCTACAAAATCAATGATGATCAATCCCCGGTGGAGGGACTAGAAGAGATTGAAAAATTAGCCAATGCTCTCAGGTCGCTGGGGTCTCCACAGGATTCAGCATCCATTATCGCTCGAGTTCTGACTGCTCTTCCCTCGAAGTATCAAAGCTTCAAGCTCGCCTGGGATTCCGTAGGTAAAGCAGAACAAACCTTGGAAAACTTGCACGTTAGACTCCAAAAGATGGAGAAAATGGAGACAGGAGAGCAGGAGTGCAGTTCTGATTCTAATAATCCATCAAATGTTGCATTTTTCGCTGGGAAAGAGCAACATCGTCATGAGGGGAAAGGGAAGAAGAATCAAGGGGGAAAAAATAACAAAGCCAGCAACAAAAAGAAAGGGGCGTGTTTTTACTGTAAGAAGGACGGCCACCACATTCAGGAATGTAGGAGTCGCATCAGGGACAAGGCTGCTGGGGAAGGAAAAGCTACTGGTGGTGGAAATAATAAAAACCAACAGCAGCAGAAGAAGGGTCAAAATAATCAAAAAGCCCGAGGAAACGACAATGATGAAGGTCCGAATGCATGCCAAGCATTCATGGGACATGTTCAACCCATCCTCCCTTCCCTGCATCCCTCTGATATCTGGATTTGTGACAGCGGAGCAACCTCTCAGTTCACAGGGAGAAGGGACTGGTTCATTCAATATCAAGAGTTGGCTAATCCCATTCCAGTAAGACAAGCGGATGGAAATAACACCAAAGCGGTGGGAAAAGGGGTCGTCCTCATTGATGCATGGATGGATGAAACCTGGACTCCCATACCACTAACAAATGTCCTTTACATACCTGGTGGATCCAATCTCTTCAGTGAAGCAGTAATGGATGGGAAAGGGTACAAAATAGTTAAGCAGAGTGGAACTGTTAACTTTTACAAAGATGGGAAACTCGGTCCCCAAGCAAAGCTAGCAAGAGGAGTCTACATAATGGGGTTCCGACCATTGGTTGAGGAGGAGGTGGCCTACTCAGCGAGCTTGTGGCATCAAAGGCTTGCCCATGTTAACCCTGCCTTCATCAAAAAGTCCGTGACTACTGGTGCAGTTGAGGGATTGCGACTTGAAGACTTAAAGGATGATGGATGGAAATGTGCGAACTGTCCTTTAGCCAAAGCTACAAAACTCCCCTTCCCTGCCCAACCCACGAGAGCTGCGAAGAAAGGGGAACTCATCCATATTGACCTCTCAGGACGAATGCCCACCAAGTCGCTAGGAGGAAAGGAGTACTTCATGCTTATAAAAGATGATAAAACAGGATTTCGCCACGTATCCTTCCTGGAAAAGAAATCGGATGCTGCTGAAAACATAATAAACTTCCTGAGATTTTTCAAAAATCAAACTGGCGAAAATATCAAGAGAATAAAAACTGACGGAGGAGGCGAGTTCATGGGGGAAGAATTGCAGCAGTTCCTACGTGAGGAGGGAATAATTCATTAATAATGCCTCAAGCCAACGGGAAAATAGAAAGGGAAATGCGTACGGTCAAGGAATCAGCCAGGGCCATGCTTCTTCAAAGTGGGTTACCGGACAAGCTCTGGGGGGAGGCTGTGGGGACAGCAGTCTACACTCTAAACCGCACCCTAAATAGCTACAACCATGAGAAGACAGCCTTTGAGGAAGTTTTTGGGAAGAAACCTAACTTGCTCTACATGCGTACATTTGGCTGCCCGTGTTATGCACACATACCAAAGCAGAAGAGAGGAGGAGAAGTTTGGGGACCCACGGCCGTAAAAGCAAATCTAGTTGGATATGATCACATGAACAAGGTCTACCGACTGTATGATCCTAAAAAAGGAGTCATCTTTCCAGAACGGAACGTACGATTCAACGAAACAACCTCATCCCATCCAGTCCGAGATGATGATGATGACTTTGAGGGAGAATCCGTCCCACAAGTAAAATCCTCTCCGTCCACTACTCCACCACAATCACCAGTTGCAGCCGCACCAGAAACTACCGTTACCAATTCTTCTGATCCATCGTATCAATCACCCATTGGAGACAACAGCACCTCGCTATGGTCTGATGAGATGGATACTGATGATGAGCTTGAAACAACAATAGTGATAACACCTCAAACAGGTCCACAGCAACAAGTGCGACTGGAGAATGATGAAGCAGTAGTGGTGCCAAAGAAAAACCTGAGGGATCGAAGCAAGATTATGATTCCCTTGAAATATCAACTTCATGCAAATACAACACAAGATGACGACGAGCCAGTCAACTATCAGGCATGCATTGCTACTCTTCCCACCGAGCCAAAGTCATACACTGAAGCTACTACCTCTCCTGATGCTGACAAATGGGTGAAAGCAATGGAGGAGGAAATCAACTGCTTAAATGAAAAGAACACGTGGGAAATCGTACCTAAGCCAAAAGGGGTGAGAATCTTGGACTCGAAATGGGTGTACAAGCTGAAGTTGAAGCCGGACGGTGGGATCGCTCGCTACAAAGCAAGACTGGTGGTGAGGGGGTTCCGACAGGAATATGGGGTAGACTTCTTTGAGACCTTCTCGACGGTCAGCCGCTACGAGTCAACTCGACTCATCCTCGCCATTGTCCAGGCACGGGGGCTTGACCTTATGCAATTCGATGTGAAGTGTGCATTCATTAATGGGGAATTGGACGAGGAAGTACATATGTATCAACCCACTGGATTCAGCAATGGAAACTGTGATGAAGTACGTCGACTACTGAGGTCACTTTATGGGCTCCGCCAAGCTCCAAAGAACTGGAGAAAGCGAATAGAAGCCTGTCTAAGAAAATGTGGATTGATTCCTCTCAATGCAGACTCGTGTGTGTTCACTGGAATGGTGAAAGGATTCTGGGTCATCCTCGTTCTGTATGTGGATGATGGACTGATTGCCAGCAAAAGTCGAGTTGCAATTCTCTTCCTTCTCTCACAACTCAAGAGCGAATTTGAGCTGGAGATAAAAGAACCGGACGTGTTCGTTGGAATAGAAATAAGAAGAACAAAGGAATGTATGTACTTGTCACAACAGCAATACATACTTGCTCTTTTACAAAAATATGGAATGACTGAATGCAAAGGCGCCTCAGTCCCAATGCAATCTGGCACTCATCTTCCAATCTCCAACACACCTGACCTGAGGATTCCGTACCGAGAACTGGTAGGAGGACTGCTATTTCTCTCCAGAGTCAGTCGTCCAGATATTTGCTACGCTGTGGCAAAGTTAGCACAATACAACCACTGCTATGTTAAGGAACATTGGCTGGCAGCGATACAGTTTTACGATACCTCAGCTCGACCCCTGACCTGGGATTATGTTACCCCACTGAAAACAACTTTGCTCTCTCTGTCTACACGGATAGTGACTATGCGGGTGATCGCAACGACCGGAAATCAACATCTGGGTTTGCAGCCTTTCTCGGAGAAAGTCTTATTTCATGGAACTCATCCAAACAAAATGTGGTCACACTATCATCCTGTGAGGCAGAATACTTGGCAATTGGATTCGGAGCTCGAGAAGCACTTTGGTTGAGGGCTTTTCTGGGGGAGCTGAAGCTGGAACAAGAAAGCACACCAGTATTCGTTGATAACACCAGTGCCATCCGACTCGTGGAGAATCCGGAGTTTCACAAAGCCAGCAAGCACATTGCGGTGAAATATCATTTCGTACGAGACTTAAATGAATCCGAACAAATCTCCACACAATTTGTACCATCGGGAGATCAACGTGCTGATATTTTTACGAAAGCACTGGATAAGACAAAATTTGAGACAAACCGTGAAAAATTGAACATGGTTGAAACAAAACCCGTCCCACTTTCTCCCTCAGAACAAACAGCAGCAAATATGATGTGTGGACTTCGCCAGGTCCCCTCCAACCGGGGAATGGGAAAGTTTGGACTACTCAACATGATTATGTGCTTGATGCTGCTAATCTTCAGTACGGATGCAGTACATATAACTTCTTCTCGACCCATCTTATGGAGGAAGAGCAAGATTCCCATAATAACTGGTTACGAAAAGATTTACATAAAACTGCAACTCGTGAGTCCGTGCACTCTTATCACTGCACAAGCTGTCTACTACGAAAACCTTCAAGATGCTCGTCGCATGTGTGAAGAGGTGTACCAACGCAAATTCTTAGATGAGCTGGGAAAAATGTGCCCCCCACCAAAAGGAACTGTAAAGAACACCAAGACCAGGAGGGTGGTACCGATACTCGCCCTTATCGTGGTGGGACTAGTAATGGCTGGAGCGGCGCTCAGTGACCTCGTCCTCTCTGTATCGACAAGCCGGAGACTTGGACAAGCTGAGAATGTCATCACGGCTCAACAGCAAGCCTTGGACTCATTAGCCCAGGAGAACAATCTCACTGAATTGGCTGTCAACAAGTTGAGAAGAGACTTTAATCAACTAGCTGAGGAATTGGAAAGTCATGAATTTGAGTTTGACGACTTTAGGAAAAAATCACCAAGCACACACTTCATCCTATCCTCAATAATGGCAGGTCTAACAATTGGGACTCCAATCATTAAAGGAGGAGCACGAGAATTTAGAAGAGGGAAAGTATCACCACTACTGCTCGACTATCTAAACATCACACTGCCGTGTGAACTCGTATCCTGTCCCATGGACCACGCAACTGCCGACCGCTGCAGTCTTATCACAAGTGAAAGTCAACTGGAAATTGAGATCTCCATTCCAACAATTGATCCTGAAATGTACTTGGTGAGCGTGGACCCATTTGACTTTTTGGTTCAGACCGAAAATAAAACCTGTCGAGCTGTCTACACCGGTCCATCAACAGCAGTCCTTGGCCCGTCTGGATGTCCAGTGGCACTGGATGTTCAAATCTCGGAAGCTTACAGCATGGTGTATGCAGCCTCTAAAGAATGTTTGCCGGATAACAAACAGGACTCCTCATATTTCAAAATTAAATCATGCAAGGAGAAGCAAGATGGAGATGAAAAGCAATTCATTCAGGTGAAATCTCATCACGGCTTTCTCTACATCTACTGCTACATGTCCACAATAGCAATAGAGAATCAAGAACAACCATGTCCTAACGAGGTGTTCATTCTCCCTGTGGGAACTAAATTCAGCATCAATGGGAAGGACTTCGTCGGCTCTGTGGTCAATATTCTGCATCAGGAGAGCCCCCACCCGTTTTTCACGCTGAAGACAAATCATCATCTTAATCCCCGATTAAATTACTCGGAACTCTTGAAGGACCCTATGCTCAACCACACCTTCCACTACAAAGCAATCAACGCACACTTTGGGACCACACCTGATTGGATGTTGGCGTTACTGGTTGGAGCTGCTGTAACTATTGGTGTCCTCATCCTCATAATTGTGGTATGCTACTACTACAACAGGAAAGTCAAGATCGAGGTGGTGAAAATTCCTAAGCAGAGGCTTCCGATGTCTGACACGGCACCAGCGTGGGTATTCAATCAACAGCAAGTTATCCCGGAACCAACTCCAGGAATTACCCCTGACGGAACTCAATGAATTTCTTAATGATTAATATTAGCTTGAGGGAGAATATGAGAAAGAGAGAACAAAATTATCTTATTTGTATGTATGTCAAGATAATATCCGTTCCAAAAATGTACAATCTAAATTAATCCAGGAATGTAGCTTTCAGCACTTTACACTTCCATTGAGAAAGTAGGTTATGAATGTGTCAAATCATAAATTCTTACTTTATGTCATACCCAAAGTATGTATTACATTTTATTATGTCCTCTGGTCCATCCTGTTTTCCAAATCAATTCTATTTCTAACATTGTATGATTGAGATTATAAATTGGCTGACATGCAATAATAAAACTATTAGTTTGCACTGAACCTCTGTGGTAGCAACTTTTCTCAATTCTACATTCGGGTGGCGAGTTGCGTAAAATCTGTTGCCTAAATTTTTAAATAAATTCATTTATAAATAAATAAATAATTAATTAATTAAAAACTCACTTTTGTTTATTTTTTGAAGGGGAACCACAAATCTATTAATTTAATGGATTAAATCATTTTGAGAAATACAATTTCGGCGTCAAACTGAAACATTACAAAATGTTTTATGCTTTTGTTCACAATGAAGTTGAGACTTTTGCGGGGAAAAAAATTTCGAAAACTTATACTAATTTGTTACCCTTTTTACCCTATTTTATTACCGTGGCCGGTAAAAACTTTGATTATCTACACACCCAAGAAGTTAAAATGTAGTCAAAATAAATTGATAATAAAATCATTAGCTTGTATTCGTAGGCGGTATGCGGCCCTGTAATGATTTATTACCGAACGGTTATAATAAATTTCGACAAACTTAAATGTATTTACCACTCTTTGTTAATAAATTGTTGCTGAAATGGTAAAAGGTTTTCGGTCAAAGGCTGCGTTTCATTAATCTGGTTATTTAAAATATTTAACTTTAAAAAACCTAATTTCGCCTTTCAAAAACCTT